TCACCTTGGAAGAGGTGAGGGTGAGACTGTGGGTAGAGGCTGCTGGTTCTCACGGGGCTGGACTGTTGAAGAAACGGAAGACAAGCTCCCAAATCCTAGACTCTTGGCTCAAGACCCGGATCATAAACTGAGGACTTCCGTGCTAAGAGTACCCCTGAATTCTTGCAGCTACCAGGCTGAGATAGCAAAAAACGAAACCTAATGTTTGAGCCTGCACAACGGTGAGTTACCTCAGTGGCTACGGCCACAGCCTCACCAGCTCTGCTCCGTGGAAGTCAGACCCTTGACTGGGAAAGCGTGAACTTGGTGTTTGCATGGAGCCGTGTGGGAGGGTTTGGAGTGATGAACCCCTGGAACCCCTGATTCCCGCCGAGCCCCCTTGCAGGCTGAAGCAGCCTGTCCTTGCTGTCTGATAATGCTGATCCTGCCTTAACGGGGCCCCTTTAATGACCCTCCTCCACGACCCCCATCCCCCCCCATGTTTTCAGACCACAGTCGGGTCCCCAGACTGGGCAGGACTGAATATCAACCCCAAACCAAAATCTGGGCAAAACTTTGCTGTTTCATAGGATCAAAAATCTGGAGACAGTGTGTGAATGGATCCACTGAGCTAAATTTATACCCACGGGCCATTCTGGATTCAGGGTGTGGGTCTCAGCTGGGGGTGGCTCTAATTGTTTCCAGGGCTGGTTTGGGGTTGGCAGGTACGCTGCTGAAGCCTGACTCAGCGGGGGCCCGTGCTCACTGAGATGGAGGGGACAGAAATGCCCAGGTATAATGGAGAGACAGAGTTGTGAATTAACCATGGGTGACCCACGGCACCTAGCCACAGCCCCTTCACCAAGACGGCGTGAACCGCCTTGTGGAGGCAGCCCAACAGCTTTTAGAAGGCCTCAGTGTCCCGACTCCTGATTTCTAGGGTGGAAACCAAGACCCTGGGAGGTAAAGTCTCCGTGGCAGCAATGACTACCAGGGGCAGGGTGGGCTCGTCACTCTAATAGTAGCAGGACCAAGCAGCCATCCCGATGGTCTGACCAGCGGGGACTCAGGGGGCTAACGGATCACGAGATCCCCAGGGCAAGAATGGATCAGCGACCTCCAAGGACATGTGGCTTTTATAACCAGACAGACCTGGATCTGGTCAATGGAAGCCTGACTAGAGCCCTTTCCCCCAACACCCCTCCCACCTCGGGTGGTCAGAGACAAGCCCTCCTCCACCCCCAGACTGAGTCTGTCCACTAATCTCCCTCACACTGCCCCACGGGGACTATGGCCATTTATAGGAGAATCCGGCTCTGGGGAGCAGGGGGAGGGGGTTTGAGCCTCACTGAGTCCTTGTTTCCTCATCTGTAACACGAGGACAATAACATCTGCCTGAAAGGATTGTCGGGTTAATTGAGTGGAATAACGGGACAGTGGCTGGAACATAAACTCGCATTGCCTGCAGCTGAATTTTAATCCCTCTGTGATTTTGTGTTCATTCTTTCATTTGTTCCCATCTTCACTCCACTGCACTATCATCGGCCCTGTGCTGGGCACTGAGAGTTCAAAACTAACAACCCCTACCAGTGACTGAGGGTAAAGTACGTGCCTGGAGCAGTGCTCGGCCTCCATGTCTCTAACCTAGGCAACAGCTCTGCAAGGTCACATGGCAGGAGGTAGCAATGCTGGGACAGGGACCTAGTTGAGTTCTATTGTTGTGTTTTCTCCACTGTGGCACCAAGCTCCTCCGAAGTTAATAAAATGAGGCGGCAAATACAGAGCTTGGGACATGGTGAAAGTGATAGAGAAAGGAGGGTTATGGCTCAAAGAGTGGGGGAATGGATGGACAGATGGATAGATGGATGCATGGATGGATGGATAGGTGAGTGAGTGGATGGATGGGTAGATGGATGAATGAATGGATGGGTGGATGGACGGATATATGGATGGGTGAGTGAGTGGATGGGTGGGGAATGCATGGATGGTGGGTAAGTAGATGAATGGATGGGTGAGTGAGTGGATGGATGGGTAGATGGATGAATGAATGGATGGGTGGATGGACGGATATATGGATGGGTGAGTGAGTGGATGGGTGGGGAATGCATGGATGGTGGGTAAGTAGATGAATGGATGGGTGAGTGAGTGGATGGGTTGGGAATGCATGGATGGTGGGTAAGTAGATGAATTGGATGGGTGGGTGATAGATAGAGAAATAGAGACACAGAGAGAGATAATGACTAGATAGACTTAGAAGATGGTTTTGACATGACCTCTAATCCTGGAGGATCTTCCAATCAAGGAAGATGCAGTGCTAAGCATGGACCTAGCTGGGAAACTGAAATATCTGCAGTTAGTAACACTGTCAGAGCCTGCCATTTTCCAGCCACAAACATAGTGTGTGAAGATCAGCCAGGCAAGCTGTGACTTGGGGCAGACACACTTGATCGCCTGAATAACAGACCTTTTTGTTCATTTGTTCAACAGGCGTACTAGCACCTAGTACCAGGCAGTGTCCTAGGCTACGGGCATAGAGTAGTGCACAAAATACCTCCACGTGGAGATTCCAATATGGGGTGGGGGAGGGTGCGGACAAGGATGATCTACATATAGAATGAGCCAGATGAGAGTGAGCACCATGAAGATAAACAAAGCAGGGCAAGAAAGGAGGGCTCTGGAGGCCCAAAAGGAAGGAGTGAGGCCCAGATCTGGAAGGAGCAGCAACTCTCCCAGGATCGCAGTAACTTACGCAGCTAGATCAGACTAGAACCCAGGCGATGCACAGGTGTTGGGGTTCTGGGGTTCCTGATCTGATGCTACAGGATGGTGGAAACACACCAGATATGGTGTCAGCAGAGTAGGGTGCTGCTGGGATCCAGGCAGTCAGGAGCTGCGTGATCTCAATCCCCTAAACCCCTTTGCCATCATGTCACTGTTCATTTTTCCCTCCACTCCTTGAAACAACCCTGTATTTTCACAGATATTTTACTTTATACGCGGTCAATGTTCACTCTTTTGTTTTCTGGAGGCAGTAGATGCTAAGCCTCTAAAGAAGGCCCCGGTTTTGCTCTAGCTGAGGGAGGACAGCTGCTGGCTGGGACACAGAAGGCTCCTCAGGAGAAAGGAGATCTGAGCAGGCCTCAAATAGAGGAGAAGCATTCATAATGTGATGCCAAATGCCCAGATCAGCCTGGTGGCCACATCCTCTCTTTCCTAGAAAGAAGGGGGCTATTTATCAGGATTAGGTTCAATTACAAAGGACAGAAAACCCAAGATATGAGTAGCTCAAACAGAAAGAAATTTCTTCCTTTCTTATGTAAAAACTCCCGGGGGTGCCTGGCTAGCTCAGTTGGTAGAGCATGGGACTCTTGACTTCAAGATCATGAGTTCAAGGCCCACGTCGGGCACAGAGCTTACTTGGGGGGGGGAAAATGAATAAAAACTCCTAAGCTAGGTAGTCAGGTGGCAGGGACCTGGCCCCTTCTGTCTTGCTCCACCAGTCTCAGTATTTGGCTTTAACCTCATGGCTCAAGATGGCTACTTGAGTACCAGACATCATGTCTGTATCACAGCAACAGGACAGAGGAAGGGATAAAGAAGGGAATGCCTTCTTCCCAGCAGAGGGGTTTCTAGAAGAATGCTATTTTAGGTTAGCAGTTCTAAGACCTAGAGAGGGCCCACCAGGCCCCTGGAAAGCCCACAGGCTTGGCACTGCTGCTGCCTGAGATGGCATCTGGGGAGGGGAGAGATGCAGGCAGCTCTGCCTCTCTACCCCGGGAAGTTCCTGCACCCATCTATGGAACAGTATAGAAGCGGCTGGCTGCTTCCAAGATGCCACATGCGCTGGGCCCTCCATTCGCCCCCTAATTTCCACCTCCTACTGGAGTTGCCCCCCATCCTCTCAGCCAGAGTTTTCTCTGGTGCCCTGGGAACCCAGAACATTGGGTGGGAAGGGAGGGTCCTACAGAGTTGGGCAGGCAGTTTAAGTTTCCAGCTAAAGCCCTCTGACCTGGGCCTCCCACCACCACAGATGGACTCCAATTCCTCAAGTGTAAGACTTGGAGTCCCAGAAGAATTTAAACCAGATTGCTATAAAAGCCCCTGCTAGAGACTGACACAAGGTAGGGGCTCAAGAAGGTGAGTGAATGAGTGAATGAATGAATGAATGAATGAGTCAATAAATTAGCCAATCACTCAATCATGGTGTTATTCAGTCTTAGCTCAGCCAAGTTGTCACCCAGCTTCCACTTACATACTTCCAGTGATGGGGACATCACTACTTCCAGAGGCAAAATGGTTTTAGTTTTTAGACTGTCCTTACAATGAGTCAGATTCCCCACCTCCTAGGTTTCCCCAACAGCCCCAGTCTGCCTACAGGTGGGACCCAAAACACATTTAGAATCTTTTTTATGGGATGGGACCCAAGCCTCTGCAGGCAAGGGAAAGCACAGAATCCCACAGCTGGACCTTAGAGGCCACAAGTCTCTTGGTCATCTTCTTGTGTTTCAGAGGAAGCTCTGACCAGAGAGGGGCTAGGACTCACCCAAGGCCACACAGCTGGGGAAGGGCTGAGCCAAGATTCAGACCCCAGATCCACCTTTCAGCTATGTTCCTTCTAAATTCCACAGCCCCTCCAGGCTTCCCCACATGGGGTACCCCTCCCCACGGCCAGCCCCACCCTACGATGCCGAGGATCTGGTGCCCTTATGGAGATCATCATGCTGGAGAAAACCATCTCTTGTCACGGCCAGTGACAGGCACAGGGCTGAGTCGGGGGGTCAGGAGCTTCTGCAGGACCAAGACCTATAGGACAGGCTGTATGGCTCTTACCCACCCCCCAGGCAGGGGCATCCCTCAGAACAGCAGGCCCACGTGTGTACACACCCATGTGTGAGCGTGTGCACGAGCGTGTGCTTGCACTTTCCAGAGCCAAAGGAACACGTAACAAGCTGTCAGTAAATCCTGCCAATTCGAGAAGGGTAATTGTCACGCACGATGCCAACAGACAGAACTCCAGTGGATTCATTTGGTTTTGTTTTGTGGTTATTTTTTTTTTTACAACTTTAAATACGGAATATAAATAAATTTACATTTAAAAAATAAAAGGAAAGCCCCCAAAAATATAATCACCAACTTTACAAACTGAAGGAAGCAGATTTTGGAGGGGGAGGGGGGTAGGGAGGAAAGTGCAGTCGAAGGTGGGGAGGGAGGTGGGAGCTCAGACCCCACCCCAGGGAGCCCTGGGCATCTTTTCCCTTTTCTCCCCCACTCCCAGCCCATGAGATGGTTTCCTGGGAGGAGCCACCAGAAGTGGAACTCAAAAGAATCTAATACGGGGGGAGGTGTGCAGGGGGAGAGCAAGGACTGCCCCCTCCCTTAGAGACTTTCTCTTGGGTTTTTCACACCCGCCTGGAAAGGGGAACTGCTTGAGCTGAGGACTCAGGAAAACGGAGGCCAGATGGACAACAGTGTTGCCTCCCCACCCAACACGGGCTCGCTCCTGTCCAAGCACTCCAAGCCATTGGCCAGGTCGGGGCACAGCCAGTCCACGTGGAGCCTTTGTGTCAGTTAGGAAAAGGATCCCTTTCTCCATACATTTTTATCTCCATCTGCCAGATAACTGTCCTGATAAATACACAAATTGGCCACGTTCTACAGTGTGAGCAATGATCCCTGCAGGCAGTGCCCTTGTGCAGTGCACACCCTGCACAAACCTACTTGGCAGTCTTGGCTGGGCTGGGACATGATGGGCAGGCCCCCTGCTGCCCTGACCCCTGGTCTTCTGCCTAATGGAGCAGAAGTATGGGGTCCAAGAGTCCCTTGGTGGAGCAGACTGAGGGCCAGGACAAGAGGAAGACACAGGGTGGAGGTAGAGAGATAAAACAGAGGAAATGAAGGTGGGGGAAGTGGAAGGAGGCAGTGAATGCCCAGGTCACCAGCCACGTCGGCTCCAGAGCAAATTTCATCTCTAACCCATCTGAGGGGGCACTTGGCTGCCTGGTGCTTGGGCCACGCCCACCCAGAGGAGTCCATACCGTCAGAGATCTCATATGTATAAAACAAAAGGAAGCCGCTGTAAGCAGAGGTGACCAGGGAGAAGTGACTGGGCCTGGGCGCCGTGGGAGGGTTTTTCTCGAGTCTGTGCTCCCCTGCGTGGTCTCAGCCACAGGAGTACGAGGTACCCTGGCCTGCCTGGGGGGTTCCCTTCAGAGCTGGCCAGGGGTCCTGGGACCAGGCAGGCCACCCATGCCTAGAGGGCCTCAGAGCCTTGTGCAGGGCTTTGGGCTGGTCCACAGCGCTGAGGTGTGACCCTGGCCGGGAGCCGGGGAACAGCGGGCCCACTGGTCTCTCTTGCGCTTCTATCCCAGATTCTCGGGGTCGGTGGAGGACGACAGCAATGGAGTTCAGGTCCTCCGTTTCCTTCTCGAGATTCCGGGCAAGGTGCTGGAGGCCAATGAGGGGACCCGCTGGTGGGTGGACGGACGCGCGGAAGGGGTAAGCACCATTGGCCGTCCGAATCAGGCATCGAGACAGACGGACGAGGGGAACAATATTATCACTCCAAGGACCCCATGGGGGCGATACAGCAAATACCATATTAAATAACCCTGTGGGCCAAGCAGAGGGACACAGAGGGGTCAGAGACAGCTTAGGGGCTCCAGCCCATGCTCACACGCCTCCCTTGCCAGGGACGGGGAGCTGATTTCCAGCATCGTTCAGGGCTGGGGCAGTTGAGGGTCAGACCTCCCATTCTCCTAGGGCATGCTGGGACACAGCTGGGCTGGGGCCCCCAAAGCCCCCTCACCCACCTACCCTATGGGAAAATTCAGTTGAAACTGGGTGGAGGGGATCCAGGCTGAGAGCCAGGATTTTGTTTGGGGAAATATCTCTCCTCATCCCCTTCCACAGCCCAAGCCGCAGGCCAGGGAGAAGAAAGACCAGGGGTCTGGGCCTCAGGTTCCCCACCAGGCCTCACCTGCCCACACTCTCCTGCAGATGCCCCTAGGCTCCGAGGGTCTCCTTCAGTGCCTTCTTGTCATGCGTGTGCTTGAACTTCCGGTGCTTCCCCTTGGGGGGCCGGCGGACTCGCACTGTCCGAATGGCCACCCGAGTTTGGGGTGTCCTGGCTGCTTGAGAAAAAGAAAGGTCTTGTCAGCAGGTGGACAGCCTCTGGAGAGGGTCTATTGCTCTCAACCAACACCTGCCGCAGACCTCTCCAGATCTCCTGGGCTGAAAGAAGGGGTAGGAGTCTGAGGCCAGCCCTCCTTGGGTTCAAATCCCAACTCCACTGCTTACCAATTATTGAACCACTCCGTGCCTCAGTTTCCCCACCTGTGATATGGGGGTAATAAGACCGCCCCCCTCACAGGACTGGTAAAACGAATAAATGGCAGTTTACTGGCAAACACAGAGGGGAGTAGATTAGCTACGGCTTCAAGTTCTTTGTCCTTACCCCACTGACCCTCCTAATTTCCATGCCCCTTGAGCCTGTCGTGGACTCGGATCTGTTAACCAGTAGAAGGAGGCAGAGCGGTGCTGTGCCGGTTCCAGGCAAAACCCTTAAGAAGGCTTGGCAGCTCCCAGAGCACCTGGGTGGCTCAGTCGGTTGAGGCTCAGATTTCAGCTCAGGTCATGATCTTGGGGTCGTGGGACCGAGCCCCGCGTCAGGCTCTGTGCTCAGTGGGGAGTCTGCTGGAGATTCTCTCTCCCTCTCTCTCTGCCCCTCCCCACTGCTGACATGCTCCCTCTCTCTCTCTAAAGTAAATAAATAAATATTAAAAAAAGAAGAAGAAGGCTTGGCAGCTCCCCCCATTTTGCCTTGGGGAGCCCTGTGCCACTGCCTAAGAAGTCTGGCTACTCTGCTGGGGAAGGCACCTGGGGAGGAGACGCCCTGGACTACAGCGAGAAGGACATGGGCCCAGCTGCCCCACGCAGCCTCCAGACAACACACTACAACCACTGGAGACATGAGTAGAACCGCCAGGCGGAGCCCAGTCAACCCATCAATCGGGGAGAGATGATAAAATGGCTATTGTCTTAAGCCACTAAGATCAGACTAAGAAGTGATCGGCAAATGGGAGCTGCTCTTACTCACTTTTTTCTTATTCCCTCGCTTGACCTCCCGTTGAGGTTTCCTCCCACCAGCCTCTCAGCCCCTTCCAGTTCTGGGTTGGGGGAGCTGCTAGGCATCGGGCCAGAACCACACACTCCCACTGTGGAGCTGGGCCTCCCCATCCCCGTGCCTGTCGTCACCCGGCCCTCGCCACTCCAAGAAGCGACTCAGTGGGGCAGGCCAGAGCTCGGGTTGTGGGCCAGACCACCTGGGTGCGAATCTGGGCTCTCCCAGGTATTAGTGGCGTACGTTGGGGCAAGTCACATAAACTCTCTGTGCCTCGATTTCTGTATCTTTAAAAGTGAGCTGGCAGCAGCCTCGGCCCTCGGGTTAGGTGATAATACACGGAAATAGCCAGAAACCCTTGGCTAGCACTTCCTGTGCACCTGGCAATGTTCTAAGCTCATTTCTCCTCACAGCAGTACAAGTCTCTACATTTAACAGACAGGGAAACCAAGGCAGAGACACTGGGATTTGAACCTAGGAGTCGGCCTCTGGAGTCCGTACTTTCAACCACTGGCCTGTAAATCACAGTACTCGTGAGCCTCGGGCAAGGTTAGCACTGATGTCTCTTCCTCCTGAGCCCCCAGGTCAACACCCTGGCAGTGAAAGCTTTCTCCGCCAAGCTCAAGGCCCATCTCTTCCTGGGAGCCTTCCCCGGCACCCCCAGCTCTCCGGGGCCAACGCCGACTTCCCACCTCACAGACATAAGCTCCCACGAGGCAGTTAGCCCATCTCTGCCATCGGGCAGTGTAAGGATGCGGGCAGGTCTCAGATTCCCCTTGGGGGAGGACACCTAGAAGGGCCATTAAGGGGCCCAGAGTTTGGGCTCCAGAGATGGGGTCATCAGCAGGATCCTGGGCTGGGCAAAGCTGGAGCAGGCTCAAGGTCATCATGCAGCTCATGAGTGACAGAGCCGAGTCTCGAGCCCAGGAAGTCTGACACCTGTATCACACGGGCCACAGCACCAAGCCTTTGCCAGGCCGGGGCCAAACTGCTGAAACTGACATGGCAAGACTTTATGTAATCTACATATTAATCAGTTGAACACGTCTTCCAAGATCTGGCTTGGAAAACCACATGAAGCACAGGCACATGAAAGAACCCCATCCTAAACATAAAGGAGAATATGATTTTTCCTGACTAGAAATCCTTCTATGTTAATTCTTATTATTATCCCACGTTATTCGATATCCCATGTTGTTCCGTGTTAACTGTATTAATAATTTACAACAGGTGGGCGCCTGGGTGGCTCAGTTGGTTAAGCGACTGCCTTCGGCTCAGGTCATGATCCTGGAGTCCCGGGATCGAGTCCCGCATCGGGCTCCCTGCTCGGCGGGGAGTCTGCTTCTCCCTCTCCCGCTCCCCCCTCTTGTGCTCTTTCTCTCTCTCACTCTCTCTCTCAAATAAATAAATAAAATCTTAAAAATAATAATAATAATTTACAACAGGTCAGTTTGAAGCTGTCAAATTATCAGCCTTTCCAGGGCATCCGTGCCTCAGCTCGGCTCTCGGAACAGGACAAAGAGGCTATGAGGCCTGCCTTTGGGAGGCTTCTAAGATGTTCTGTCCTCTACCAATAGAAAGTTACTGAAAATCAATGTGATTTTTTTTTTTTAAAGATTTTATCCATTTATTTGAGACAGAGAGAATGAGAGAGAACACATGAGAGAGAGAAGGGTCAGAGGGGGAAGCAGACTCCCCGCCGAGCAGAGAGCCCGATGCGGGACTCGATCCCGGGACTCCAGGATCATGACCTGAGCCGAAGGCAGTCGCTTAACCAACTGAGCCACCCAGGCGCCCTCAATGTGATTTTTTTAATGCTCATCTAAACATATTAACTTAATAAATCTTGATCTTTGGGGTGCCTGGCTGGCTCAGTTGGTAGAACATGAGACTCTTGATCCAGAGTTGTGAGTTCAAACCCCATGTTGGGTGTAGAGATTACTTAAAAATAAAATCTTAAAATAATAATAATAATAAAAATTATAATTATATATAATATTATATATATGTACGTATATGTGTGTGTGTGTATATATATACACATATATATAATGGCTGTGCTCCAGCAGTCCCATCAAGAACACTGAACAACTGACTTATAAGGTCATCTCTCTGGACCGTTCTAGCTCTAACAATGTTAAATTCTTAAAAAAAAAGAAAGAAAGATGGGGTGCCTGGGTGGCTCAGTCGTTGAGCGTCTGCCTTCGGCTCAGGTCGTGATCCCAGGGTCTTGGGATCGAGCCCCACATTGGGCTCCCTGCCAGGCGGGAAGCCTGCTTCTCCCTCTCCCACTCCCCCTGCTTGTGTGTTCCCTTTCTAGCTGTCTCCCTCTCTCTCTCTGTCAAATAAATAAATTTAAAAAAAAGAAAAAGAAAGAAAATGACAAGGCAGGTAAGAGCCAGTGACTGCTGTCACGGTGAGAGAAGGGCCAAGAATAGAACTTCAGGATACCTAGACTCCAGCTGTACCCCTGCCTGGGACTGGCTGTGTGACCTTGGGCAAGACCCCAGCCTCTCTGAGCCTCAGGCACCTCCTCTGTAAAATGTGGACCAGGCAATTGGATCAGATCATTTTTGGGGTCCCTTTCAACTCAAACTATGCCCCTGAAATTGTGAATTCATGAACTCTAAAGAGTGGACCAGAAGTCCAGTTCCAATTATCCATCTGATGCTTGAACTCTGTCACATCACTGCTACAAAGTTGCCCAGTCTCTACCTACACATTTTCAATGACAGGAGACTCACTACCGCACAAGGCATACAATTCCATCTTGGCCCCCTGACTGATTGACAGTTTTTGGTATATGGAGTTAAAATCTCTCTCCAGCGGCTTTTCCCCACTGGTCCTAATCCCCCCTGAAGGCCACAGGGAATGAGTTTGATTTCTCATCCCTAGGACAGGTTGTCAAATATCTGAAGATGATGTCCATGGAGTCTTCTCTTGTCCCACTATTTCATGTACTCATTCAACAAAGGAGGGGGCTGTGGTAGCAAGACGGGGATGGGAGCTGCTCTGGACAAGGTAGTCAGGGCAGGCCTCTAGGAGAAGGTGACTCCTGGGTTGAGACCCAAATGAAGACAAGTAGACTTGTGAAGAGTTGAGAGAAGTGAATTTCAGATGGAAAGTGGCATGTGCAAAGGCCCTGTGGCAGAAAGGTACCCGGCCACTCGAGGAGGTCAGGCTGGTTGGGGTGGCATAAGTGAGGAGGAATGGTGGGCAGCAAGACTGGAAGGCCAGTCAGGGGCTAACATTCTCATGTAAAGCCTCGCAGGCAGGGGAGGAATCTGGGTTGTTCTCAGTGAGATGGTAACCTTCAGATGAATTTTAACCAGGGGCATGCCTGATCCAGTTTCCGCCCCCCCCCCCCCACCAGTGGCAGGTGCCCCAAGAGAAGGGAGCTGCGCAGCTGAGCAATTCAGAGGCAGACCCTGGACCAGCGGTTACCTCGCTGCTCTTGGCTACTCCCCGGGCTTCGGGTCACGGGTCGAGTAGCCACCACTGTCTCGCACTTGCACGCCAGGTGGTCCTCCAGGGTCACCGTGGCCTTCTTAAAGGTTGGCTTCTTCCGTACAATCTCGATTTTTCTCACCTGGAGGACAGAACCATCCAAGTGCCTCTGTAAGACCACACAGGCAGGGGCTGAGGGAGCCTGCCTGCCTGCCTGCCTGCTCTTCCCACCCCAGTGTCCCCGGCAGGGATCTTTCCTCGAAAGCCGGGAGTGGAGAGGCACTGGCCCAAACAATAGCAGGACCTTGCCCTCTGCCCTTCTCGTAGCTTTTCCATCAAAACAAGCCCTCCCGACCTGGCCTCCAGCTTGGCCCCAGCCCCCTTGGAGCTCCCAGAAAGGGAGAAAGGCATTTCCGGGTTGAGTGTAGGGCCCGTGGTGTCCTCATTCCCGGAGTGCCAGCCAAGGTCAGGGACTGTGGCAGAGGCGGGAGATGGTTGTCTGGAAGGAAGTGGGGGGAGGCTTTATCCAGGAGGGAGGCGGGAAGGGGGAGGTCAGCTGTCAGGTGTCCATCCATAGAGCTGGAAGCACTGGGGACAGGAGATACCATGACAGTGGGTGGTGTGGTAGAGAGTGACACTTGCGATCTCAGGCACGGGGCCCAGGCCTGGGATGGATGGTGGGCACGGGGAGAGGCCACAGCGGACCTCGGAGGGGAGTGTGGCGGAGCAGGTGGACCATTTGGCAAGAGCGGGGCTCACCAGCCGGTGCTGAGCCCTAGGTGTGCCTCCTGCCCAGCAGCTCCACCCCGCCAGAGTTGATGTGTAGGCGAGGCTGACCCAAGGGGCACAAAAACCTTTCCACATGAATCAGAAGACAGCTGAGGCTTCTCTGGCCCTGCCCTGCCCAGCATGAGACCCGGAGCTCCCCAGAGCAGCCTCTATTCTAGAATTTGCCTTGAGTCAGACTGCATACCCGATCTCTCCTGAGAGGAGGCAGGATTCAGCACTCTGACCCTTTGCTAGGGGCTGCCCCAGCATTTGCTGTGTCTGTTGCCTGGAGGGACTCTGTGCCCTCTTTGTTAAAGACACAACAAGGAACGTGAACAGGTTTGGAGGAAAACTGAGCAGCCCAGAACATTCTGAGTGTCCAATAAATGCTTGTAGACAGGTCTCTTCAAGGGACATTTGGGGATTTGATCCCTGTAAAAGAGGAGGCAGCACCCTTCCCTTAACGTCCCACACGCAGCCCTACCTGGGGGTCTGCCTTTGGCTTTTGGGTACAGCGGCCTGGGTGGCCTTGAGGACTCACAGGTGGCCTCAGTGCACCTGCGCAGAGAGCCCTAACTGGACAGAGCCCAGGAGCCTGCCAGGAATGCCTCTCCATCCCTACGGAAGCCGGGCCGGTGAGTCTGCCCCCCAACCATTCCCCCCCCCAACCCCCCGCCAGGGCCAGGGCCAGGGCCCGGGCCCGGGCCTTCAGCAAACGCCCCCCCCCACCCCGCCCCCAGCCGGGCGGGGGGGCGGCGGCGCGCCTGCTCACCTGGACGGGCCGCAGCTGCACCTGGGTGGGGCGGCACTGCACGTTGCGGTTGTTACAGCAGCCCGAGCAGCGCTGCACCTCCACGCACGGCGGCCACACCAGGAAGTTGGCGTTAGTGTGGTCGATGAGGCGCCGCGAGATCTCGAACACTTCAGTGCGCGTCTTGCACTCGGCGATCATGGCCGGCTCGGCGACCGTCGAACCTGAAGGGAGAGAGGGGAGAGCGCCGTCAGGAGGGCGGGCCTGCCCGGAGACCCCCTCCCGCGCCCCCCGCCCCCCCAGCGGCCCAGCCCAGGGGACGGCTCTGACCCTGCTCTCCCTCACACACGGCCCCGGCTGAGTCCCACTCGCTTCCACCCCAGGCGGCCGTGTGCGCCTCCTGGCTGTTACCAGCTGTGGGACTTGGACAGGGTGCTGATGTGCCCGCAGCCTCAGTTTCCCCATGAGATCTACATCCACGAACCGCTGTAAGGATCAAGTGAGATCATGGAGACTGCTGGCCTGTCAGATGTCAGTTTCCTTCCACCGGGCCTCAAGTTCGTTCTGTGATTTCACACATTTCTGGGCTCGCCTGACCCCGGGCTCCTACTCGCTTATTTATTTTGTAACCCCTCTTTTATGTTGCCCTTGTACACTATAATCTGTTCTTACACCCTTGCTTCTTTCAAAGCCGGCTTCCTCATCTCTGGCAGGGGGGTAACAGCGCCTATATACTGCACTTGCAGATCTGAGTCATGCAAGCGGCCCACAGCAAGCCTGCGGTCCACGCTGGGGCTCTGCCGTTGTTCCCATAGAGAGACACTGAGGCTCGACTAGCTGCCCGAATTCACTGAGGAGTGGAACTCAGGCCACCAAATCCTATCTGAAGGGCCCCCTAGCCACTGTCTACAGTGTTTTGGGGACTACAGGTGGGCAGAGATGAGGAGGGGCTTAGAGCAGGCACTGGCCTCCCCTGGGAAGGCTTCCATGGGACCTAGGCAGGTGCCAAGCTTTGCCTGCTGTCCCAGCCGCAGCCCTAAGCCACAGAAGAGACACACAGCCCACCAGGACGGCACTGGGTCCAAGTGAGAAGAGCTGCTGGGACCTCAGCCCTATCCCTTGCTAGCTGTGTGACTTTTGGCCACGGCTTTACCCTCTCTGGGCCTCAGTTTCCAACTGTATAAAATGGGGTCAGTAATATCTATCTCTGGGGTTGGAGTATGAACAAGTGAGTTTAAAAGCACTATATTTAGGAAACTATGTATTGGGCGATGGGGCGTGATGACTCAACTCCTCAATATAGTATATTGAAGGACAGTTTTACTCTCTTATAGTTCAATTCAGTCCTCAGTGTGGGACGAATGGGGCGGCCCAGAGCTGTGGGCTGGCTGCACGCCCCAGTTCTCCTTGTCTGGCTCCCACCATGGAGGGGTCACCATTCTCATCTGCAGCCTCACCTAGGCTCCTTCTCCCTCGGGATAAGCTCTCCAGCTCGCCTCCAGAATGGGATCGGGTCAAATTCAGGTCCAACTCGGCCCCGTCTTCATCTGCAAGAGAAGGTACAGTCAGATGCACTCTCATAGCCCCTAGCTGGTCCGATCGTGGGGTGGGGGCGCCAGTGGGGGATGTGGGGCAGGCAGGAACGTGGCCTCTCACCCCTCACTGGCACCCCACTCCAAAGAACAGACTCCCTTTCCAGGTCCCTGTAAACCTGAGGGTCCTCGCTCTGACAAGGAGCTCTCCAGGCAACCCCAGGGTGGTCATGGGGTTGGGGTGGTGGGGACCGGACAGCATCCCTGGGGTGGGGGGGCCTTCAGCCCCACTCTGGGCTCTTCAGCCACATTTTTGGACAGAACCCATGTCAAAGGAGTTAAAAATAACCCTTCCCTTTTGCTACTGTAAGTGAACCCTCGTCAGCCTCCAGGGCAGGGCAAGGACCCAGAGCTCAGAAGGCCAGTTTCCAGTGCCCCTCCACCCAACGTTCCCATAGGAAGCGCTGAATGGAGAAATTCCCAGAATCCCCGGGGGGACCAGCATGCCCTGGACACAGCCCCTCTGGAGCCCCGGACAATGGCCCAGCTGAGCCAGAGAGAGGGAGGAGGGACAGGAGTGGGGGTGGGGGCTGAAGGCAGAGAGGGGTGGGGAGCCAGCCTGCTGGGATGGGGGCGGCCATACCCTGAGCCCTTTCAGGCCTGGGTCTTGTTCCAGCTCCCAGTATCTCACTGTGTTTGCCTCTCCCCTCTAACCTTTGACCTGGTGTCTGCCCTAAACTGTCCATTTCTCCCTCAGGTCATAAACCACAGCTCCCTTCTCCAGCCTGGGAGGCCCTCATCGTGATATCATCCTTGGTGCTCCTTGGAGCGATCCCTCTCTCTAGAGGCAGCCGACAGCACTGTGGGAGGTGAGGGCCGGGCAGGAGGACTTTGAGCTTGACACTGAATCCCGGGCAGACCCTTCCAGCTCTCTGATGGCTGAAGAGTGAGCAAATAGACCACGGGGTGTTTGGACAAGCTCCCGCCCCCTCCCACGGAGCCCCCTCGCTGCTCTTGCTGTCTCCCCTTCCCACTGGCCCTGCCAACGACAAAGCTCCTGCTCTTCTCTGTGGGCTCCCCGGGGGTCCTGTTTGGAGGAGCCGGTCCTACAATGGCTGTGTTTCCGTCCAAGCTACTGCTCCCACGTCAGCGTGTCTGTCTGTCCCTCTCGCTCCCTTCCTTTCTCCCTGCCATCTCTGGAATGTCCCTGGTGGAGAGGAGATGGGGGAAAAGATGTGCTTTGTAGAAAGGTTAAGTTGATTAGGAAAAAATAGCCACATGGTTGCCTCGAAACAGGCCCGCTATTGAAAACCTCTGTCTCCAATCCCGACCCCCGGCCGGGGTGTGTAGGGGCTGTCCGAGGGTGGGGGCCAAGGGCCTTGGAAAGAAACTGCAGAAAGGCTAAATTTGGAAGTTGCCCCATTGTGTTGGCCAGGGCTGGCCAGTCGGGCATGGGGTGGGGGGTGTGGGAGACGTCGGGCGGGGGGCCTAGTGAACAATAGGTGGGCCCAGCTGGGGCCCCCTCCCGCCTGCCTCGCCAGCCCCCGGCACAGGCGGGTTTGAAAGGGCCCGGGAATGCTTTTGAGAGGGAGCCAGGGGCCCAACGGGGAGAGGAAACAAAGACAGGAAATGCTGTCCCCCGTAGATAGGAGTCTGGGCAAGGATTACAAAGTGACAAAGAGACAAAACCCTAGAGGGAAGGGGAGCTGGGGGTGCAGGGGGGCTGCTGACCAGGGCTCCAGGGAACAGGCCAGAGGTTAGAATAGAATGGAATTTGCTCTGAAGACAGCGTTTATAAATACATTCCCGACCCAGCCCGGCAGCCCTGCCACGTGTGTGCCACCAGGCACGTGCCCATTCGCTGAGTGCACTCTCGGGCTAGGGCAGGGCTGCCCGCCGGTCTGGGCCAGGTGTCCCCGGGAGACCTTACCGACCGGGCCCTCAGCCAGAGGGGCAGGGAGATGGCTCCTTCGGCACCGCCCTCCCCGGTTGGGTCCACACCTGGATACACATTCGGCATATGCCCTGGGCACCTTCTTTCTCCCTGCACCCCTCCTGCCAGCACCCCACCCCGTGCACCAAGCCAGAGCCACAGGTGGTGCGTCTGCCACACCCCACGTCCCAGGTACCAACCCGTCCGCCTACTCAGCCCTGCCCCGGGACAGGTGTGGCCGAGCCCTCCTGGGGCTGCCACAGGCCTCTAGTTCTCTGGAAGTCAAGGAAGGGAGGCTGCCCCTTGCCCTGCCCCTCCTGGCCCCCGAGGACTCAGTGGAGGCCCAGAGCCCTGAATGAGGGTTCAATTTACCTACGGAGGCTCCGTGCAGCAGGCGCTGGAGGTCGTCAAAGGAGCGGATCGAGTGGTCACTCAGCATCTCGTAGAGCTCCTCGGGAATGGGGTCCCCCTGCCAGGCAGACACCGTGGGGTCAAGTGAGCTGGAGTCGAGGGCTTTCTAGCCATGGCCCTCTTCCCTGCCACACACATGCCACCGTCCTATGGAAAAGCCCCACAGGGCCTCTCGGCCATGGGCAAATGGACAGCCGGGCCGGGGGGTGTGTGTGGAGGGAGGGGAGCAGTTCCAGGCCTGGCAACCAGAAGCACAAAGTTCTGGGGGCCAGAACCTGCTGAAGCCTCTAAGACCCAGATCAGATGCCCATCCCCCACCCCCAAACGGGAGCCCCAGCTTGCTCTGAGTTAGAGCCAATGGTGTACATCTGTCGCGCACATCGCGTCACAGGTTCCTGGAGACTCCAACCATCTTTCTGCTTTTCCTCCCCACCTGACAGCCAATGACAGCCAGCATTTGTCACAGGAGATCTAATTGTCCCCATTTTACAGATGAGAAAACAGAATCTTCCAGCCAATTATCAGCAGAACCTGCATTCAAAGCCAAGGCTTTCTGGTGGCAGAGCCTGTGCCCCCAGCCTCCTGGGTACATGAGGTGGTTCTTAAGTGCTTGCGGAGCTGGACAGGCTCCGGGGGCCCCAGGTACTAACAGATTTATTTAGTCTCTTGCTCAAAAGAGGAGAGAAGGGAATCCTCAGATACAGACACGAAACCTGAAAGCTTACCCATGCCCCATGCCCAACCAAACCCTATTTTTAGAGCCCCTCTGGCCTGTTACCAAAAACACTTGAAACTTAATAAGTGCTTTAACAGGCCCCACTCGGAGCCGGGCTTCCTCCAGAGAAACCGCAGGCCTCACAATGACATGACAGCAGCCTGATAGGAAGGTCACGGCCACATCCCTCATGGTCCAGGGAAACCTGAGGGGCTGATACCAGAGGTCTTGAGGAGGAGGGCCCAATCTGGACACCCAATGCCTTGGGGCAAAGAGGCGGGAGACTCTGCGGCATGTCCAAATTCACAGCCATACAAACACACACACACACACACACACACACACACGTGCACACACAGATGCAGGATGGCGCGGTCCTGCGGAAGAAGCCCTGGAGGGGGCGCCGGCAGACCTGACTTACTTAAACAACTCTGTGCCTCAGTTTCTCTGGATGAAGAAGCAGGAGCTCCTGCTCTAGTCAGTTCATGGAACACTCCAAGGACCCGAGTTCTTTTTTTTTTCTTTTTAAAGATTTTATTTATTTGACAGAGAGAGACACAGCGAGAGAGGGAACACAAGCAGGGGGAGTGGGAGGGGGAGAAGCAGGCTCCCCTCTGAGCAGGGAGCCCTATGCGGGGCTCGATCCCAGGACCCTGGGATCATGACCTGAGCCGAAGGCAGACGCTTAACGACTGAGCCACCCAGGCACCCCTCCAAGGACCCGAGTTCTGATTGGCTTTGCACAGGCTGAGCCCCTGCCTGACAGGGGGAGGAGGTCCTCTGCCCCGTGGCCGGCCCCAGGGGGCTCTCCCCAAAGCTCTGTTAGGAGCTTGGGGATGGATCAGTTTCTGGCTCCCCCAAAGCTCCATTTCCTCAAAGGTTATCATGGCATCTGAGAATACCTCCTCCAGGGGTTCTACCCCATCCATCCAGCCCTGGCCACCCAGGTCGACCTTAGAGTGAGGGTAGAGTGTGGGTTACGTTCGCTTTTAAAACAAATTCCTTGAAACCCTTGAGCTCAGTTTTTTCATTTGAACTCAGAGCTTATAATCCTGCCTGGTGTCTAGGGCTGCCGGGAGGTTCAAGACAGGGAGGCTTGGGGCCCGAGCAGTAAGCTTGGCTGGCAGCTGGGGTCTTTCCTTCAGGGTCCATGGCTACGAAGCCGGGGAGCCAGGGGCTGGATGAGTGAGATGGGGGAGGGGCATCGGCTCAGCTGCGCCTTGCTTTCCTCCCCTACCTCCGCCACGCTCCACCTCTTCCTACTCCAAGACAGAGACCATGCCTTTGGTGTCTCCAAATGTGGACACAGGGCACTACCCACAGGCCGGAAGGCAGGCGGCTGGTCCCCAGTTAAGACCAAGGCAGCCTACTTCCCCTGAGGGTTTTGCCAAGCCCAGAACTGGTAGTCCAGGGAGCTAAATTCTACCCTTGTTCTGCTACTAACCACCCCATGACCTGCGGCGGGTCACTGCCCCTCTCTGGTCCTGGCCCCCATCTGTGAATCAGGGCGTCGAAGACATTTGATTCCATCCTAATTCTGCCTGTGCTGGTAGAGGTAACAGAGGAAAGCCGAGGGTGAGGTGCCCGACCAGGGCTTCCAGGCTGTCTGGGCAGTAATGATTCAATTAACCCCCCAGGAGAGGGCCCCAAGGCCCAGGACCAAATGGCATACAGCACTCATGCCAAGACCTCCTTGCCCATTGGAGAGCTGGCTGCAGTTGCCAGCCGGGGCAGAGTAGGCAGACCCCAAACAGGACTAGCGGGTGCTCCAGACCCAGCCTGCGATGCAAAAGACAATGTTTTATGGAAACGGACCCAGACCCTCCCAGGCTGAGTAGTGAAGAGCCCAGGACAGACGGGGGAGGTGGGAGAAGTACACAGTAGGTGCTCAAGAAGTACTCGTAAAATGCATGAAGGACTCTCCCCTTCTCCCTGGGGTTCTCTCCTGTGTGATCCTCCTACCTCCTCCACCAGGAGGACCCCCTGGGTTAAAACCCCCCTCTACCCCCTTAGCAAACTGCCTCCTAAAGAGTCCACTTCACTCTAAGCAGAGAGGCCATTCCTGCACATGTTTCTAGTAACTTGGCCACTGGATGCCCAGAACTCACTAAGAGCTGCCTGGGTTTGATAATAATACCACAGCTAACTTTGATTAAGTGCTGACTATAAGCCAGGCACTGAGCTAAATGCTATACTAACTACCAATCCTAAGCAGCTGGCTCTATATTTTTATCCCCATCTTCCAGATGGGGAAGCTAAAGGCTTAGAGAAGTAAGTAAAGGGCTACAGGTCTACACCACAAGAGCAGAGCCGCGCCGCTCCCTCTTCCAGCCCACCATGGAGCTTTCTGGCATCAGGTGTCCCAGAGCAGGGGCTAGAGGGTCCTCAGGGGACACTGGCCATGGCTGAGGTGGTCACAACTAGAACAGTGCTCCTGGCATCTAGTAGGTGGTGGCCAGTGATCCTGCTAAACATCCCACTATGCACGGGACAGCCTTCCACAATAAAGAATTATCTGGCCCAAGATGTCAATGGGGCAGAGGTTGAGAAACTCGAGTACACAGAAAAGCAGGGGCTTCAGCAGCCAAGGAAACCTGGCCTCTTGGATGAAGCCTTTGAACAACCTTAGCTTCTTTATCTTTCAAATGGGGCGCAGAACACCTGACTGGTGTTACTGGGAGGCGTAACTGCACCTAGCAGAGCGCCCGCAAATAACAGGTACTTAATGAGCTGTCAGGGGCCCATTCAGTCCTTCAGGTGGCTCCTTCGAGGGCAGCAGCGACAGCACAGATGCCCAGGGCGAGCCAGGCAGGGCATTTTCGAGGAAGAAATTGGTGGGTGGAGAGCTGCCTAGCCTGCCCCCGGAGGAGAGCGTGTGGCTTTGCATTATCCCCCGTGCTGGGCCCCAGGAAATGGCACCCTAGTCCCCGCTGGCACTGCCCGGGGCGCGTGGGCTGGCGGGTCCCTTCCGGGGCTCGGGGGGTGGGGGCGGTGGTGAGGGATGGGGAAATTCAGCCTGTGGTCGGCTCCAGGATGCAGTGCCCTGGGGGAGACTCGCAGGGGCACCTGCTGGGGGTCAGAGGCTCCTCTTGGCATGGGAGGGTGAGCAGCCTGGAGCCCAGGTTTCCTGGGCACAGGTTCTTGAACCCTCCTTAGGTGGGCAGGGACAAGAGGCATGGCATCCAGATGAAGCTGCCCCAGATCTCAGGCCTGGGGTTCCTGACAGGGCGAGGGCGTGGTGAGAAGACAGCTGGGGCACAGCCAGCCGTGGGAGCCAAGGCAAACAGTCTCCTCCCCTCCCTCCCCACCCCCAACACCAGCTGCAGAAGGTAGGAAGGGCACGAGCTAGCGTGAGGCCAGGCGAATTACCTGCTCCCAGCCCGGCTGGCGGATCAAAGGGGCTTGGACCCCACCCTCCCCCAGGGCCCCAGCTGCACACACAGATGCGCACTCCCCAGCCCTCCGCTCCTCGCTCCTCGGAGGGAGATGACAGGCTCAGCCCGAGCAACCAGGGGCGTTGGCTGCGGCTGGCGGAGAGAGAAGCCGGCGAGGCCTCCAAGCGCCCGCCTGCCTGACAAGTCTCAGGCCTGATTTAGATTCGATGCCAAAGCCAAGCCCTTTGAAGAAGCCTTCTCCGGGCAGACCACAGAAGCCATTTGGAACCAGACTTTCCCACCTTGCATTTCCCTTCCCTATTGCTCCTGGGACCCTCCCGCCCCTCCTGAATGTTAGCCCAGCCCCACACCGGGTTGTCCGCCTCTCCCTGGAGCAGAAAATCCGTTAGGGCTGGAAGAGGGGCTAGTGCTGCAGTCACAACCAGGCACGGCCCATCACGGTCACTGCCCCCCCTCCGGGCCCGCTGCCCCGGGGGGCCTCCCCTCCACCCCAGGCCGGCCCAACTCCCGGCACTGGCGCGGCGTGAGCAGGAATCGGCATTTGCGAGAGGCTAGGGAATTCTGCTGCTCTTAGGGAACTCTGAGCTGATCCAACCTTCACATTTTGGGGAGGGGTGGGAGAAACTGAGGCCCAGCTCAAGATACACAGAATCGCTGCAGTCTGATTTTCCTTCTGTTTCCTCCTCTGTCCTGTCCAATCTTGGCAGTCCAAGTCCCAAGAGGCGGAACAGAAAGACAAGCTTGTCTCTCAAGATAGGGGGAAGGGCCCAAACGAGAATGTCTGCCTGGAGGGCAGAGTAGCCGGCCCGCATTACCCTGGGGGTGAGGACTACGTGAGGTCATGTTTATAAAGCACTTAGCATGTGCTAGACAGATGTCTGGTCCTTCCTCACCGCCGCCCCCCATGCCCCCCCCCCACATCCACTGTCCTTTCCCCAAATATTTATAGATTATCCACCTTGGACCAGGCACCGTTCCAAGAATGGGAGACAGTGGTGACCAAGACAAACTCTCTAGAGGAGTTTAGACTAGTGAGGGAAAACGGACAATAAATAAACCAGAAAATGGAATAGCTATCCTAGAAGAGGCATACGGGGAGGGGGAGACTGAGAGGGACCCAGAAAGCCGATAGCAAACCCCTCTTTACCACTCTCGCTGAATCAACCCCCCCCCCCCCACACATATATAAATACATTGTTCTAGGTCTTGCCCCAGAGCCTCAAAATTCTGTTCGGTCCTAAACTTGCAGACACTTCTAGGGCTGGGAGAGAGAACCCAGCAAGTCGGTCCCCCACCACCTAAGACCATTAGCAAACCAGAAAGAAGCTGGGTGGTAAAGGACTGCCAGGCCCCTTCCCTCCTTCCCAGCAGAAGGGTGCTCAGGCGGGAGGCATCACATGACAGTGGGAGTTACCCTCCCAGGAAGCCAGCTCAGCCATGGAGATAGGACCTCCTTAGGCCTCAGCAGACCCTCTGGCAGGCCCAGCCTTCCCAGCTGCTGGGGCCTCTACCTGAGGCTTTGGCCAGGCACCAGGCCAGCCCCAAGGCCACCTCCAGCAGCAAGCTCTCCTGGAGTCTCCCTTCCCCTGACTAGCCCCCATGTTGATGGGTTTCCCTTTATGTCTCCTCCTCCAAAGCCGCCTCAGGCTGACATGGGCTTAGCGAGACAGCGCTTCTTTCGGAAACTGCAAAGCACCACACAATTGTGGCTTCCCGAGGGCCTTGTGTTCCAGGACGCTGTGATTACAGTAGGGAGAGAGGCAACAGCTTCTGTGCCATAGCGTCCCCCCTCCAAGCACACATATCCATGGAGTTGTGGGGAAGGAGGAGATGCTGGGGGAAGCTGGGAATGAGGAGGGCAGGCCTGGGAAAAAGCCTCTTCCAGCTGTCACCCAGCCTCTCCAGAGCGCGCTGGGATCAGCAAAGAAGACAGAACAGCCAGGTGGGAGGCCCCTCAGCAGCGAGGGTCCTCTTAGTCTTGGAGGCTCAAAGAAGGGCTTATTGGAAGGGAGAATGCTCTGGACATCACAGCGCCCCCCAGACGCATCAACACTATTCTCCGCCTCCTGGGGTAGTTGTAAAAAAGCAATCACGGAGGGGTAAAGCTGGAGGGGCGGCAAGCTGACCTGCGCCGGCAAAGAGCAGTGGGTGCTGTGGAGCCAGGACCTGATGGGAGGGTCCCTGTTTCCCCTCCCTCCTAGGGGCCCAGCAAGGAAATGCGGTCACTAGAAAGACGACGAGGTTCCAGGGCCCACGGTGGGCCCACCTGTTGCGCGGGGGTGGGCACCTGATGCCGGGTGTATAGGGGCCGTGCGTGCCTGTGTGCGTGCGTGGGTGTGCGCGCACGTGTGTTCAGGCCGCGTGTTCTGGGGCCAGGCGTACGTGTGTGTGCGGTGCGCGCGCGTGTGCCCCGCGTGTGCACGGGCGTGGCGGCGGCGGGCGCGCGACCCGGCCGCGGTAGTGCGTGCCCGTCGCTCTGCGCGCCCGCCCGCCAGCCGGAGCGCAGCATCGCCTCCGGCCAAGAGTGTGCATGCGTGGGGTGAGTGAGCGAGTCCGGGGGCCGGGCGGGGTGGGCTGCGGAGAGCAGCGGCGGGGGCGCCGCCGTTCCCAGGACGCCCTGGCACCGGCCCCAGCCCCCAGGCCCCGCGGCAAGGCGAGGCGGCAGCTGGGGCCGGCCGGCGCCCCCCTCCCCAACAGCTGGACGCGGCCCGGGGGGCTGCAGAGAGGAGAGGAGGGGGCGTCGGGAGGGGCCTGCAGGCTTCCAGGCCGAGCCCTGCGGCCTCCCTCCCGGGTGCGGACCGCGGGGGGTTGGCCGCGGAAGGGCGGGGCCCCAGGGCGGGCGGCCGGCGGCCCTCGAGGAGCCCCGAGAACAAAAGGAGACGGCGACGGCTCCTCTGTGGTCAAAACAACCTGCGCTGGCGGCGGCCCAAGGTCTGGCCGCGGCCTCGGAGCCCTTCACCTTAACCCCTTCGCCGCCGCCGCCGCCTCCTTCCTGCGCCTCGCTGGACGCCAGGAGGCCGGCCCTCCTCGGGAGCCGGCGAGGTGCGGGCTCCCGGCCGCCGCGGAGCGGAGGCGGGACGGGACCCAGGCTCGCCGCGCTCCCCGCTGCCCTCTCCTCCCCTCCACCTCGCGCTTCCTCCCTGCCCCGCCCCCTTTCCCACCTGGATTCCGGGTGGACTTGCCAACTCACTGCTACGTGAGGCTGGGAGGGGTGGGGGGGGGACTGATCCGACCTGATAGCTCCCCCAGACGTTTTTACACCCCACCTGCCTTGCAGCTATGCTTTTACTGGCGCGCTCCGCACCCTGCAATCGGGGGAGAGAGGCGCTTCCTCTCGCAGGGCGCGGGCGCAGGTATGGCGGGGCCTGGGGCACACACCGCCCCGAGGGCTGGATTCCTTAAAAGCCTCTCCTCCTCCCCAATTCCCGAATGCCCAAAACCTCCCTCTCTCTCTCTCTCTCTCTCTCTCTCTCTCTCTCTCTCTCTCTCTCGGCAACCCCCGCGCCCAAGACACAAGCTACGGCTGGACTGCGCTCTAGGGCCGGGCATGTCCGGCGCTGGCCCGAGGGCGCCCGTCCCGACCGGGAGCTGGAGCCCGGGAGGGGAGGCAGATCCCCGCGGAAGGCTGGCGTGGCTGCCACCGGTGCACGAGCTCGCGGGTCCTGCACAGAACCTAAGCTGGAACCAAAGTGGGCTTGGGAGGACGCGCTGCCTTCTGCACCCTCGGCACCACCACCCCCCTCTCTCCCTTCGGGTTCCTGAGGGGTGGGGGCCAGGGCCACACACACGCCCTCCCCCGACGCTGAAAGGGCCAGAGATCTGGGATCGCCCCCCTGGGAAAGAAAGCTGCCCCTGCCCCCTCCCCTTAGAGCCTGGCACCTCCGGACCTCGCGTCCCAACCCTCGGAGGTCACCTAGCGCCCTGCGCTAGGCCCCTGGGCTGCAAGGGTCCAAAGTTCACTGCAGGGAGGGGAGGGGGCGACTAAGGGGTGCGGGTGGGGGTAATGAATGAAGCGAACCAGCCCTGGCAGCCGTCGCAACTCACCTCGGCGCTGACCAGACGCAGGTAGCAGCAGAGAGACAGGAAGAGCGCCCAGCAGCGATTCATGCCGACTCCGGGCCCGGCCCCGCGGGGCCCCGGACGCGTGGACCGAGCGCGCCGCCCCCGCGGCCAGGGTGGGGGGCGGGGGCTGGGGAGGGAGGTGGGCTCGACTCGGGTCTGCGGCGATCAGGCGCTCAGGCCGCTGCAGCCGCCGCCGCGGCTCACCCGCATGGCCCCCGGGCGCCGCCGCCCCCGGCCCCGGCTCCGTCGTTGAGGGGCTGGGGAGGGCCTGGGCGCAGGACCAGGGTCCGAGGCCGCTACCTGGGCGGATCCCGAGCCCGAGTGAGCATCCACGGCCAGGGGTCTGCGTCGCGAACCAGCCGAGGCGTCTAGCCGTGTGGGGGCGCCCAGGGGACTCCAACCTCCAAGAGGAAAAAGAACACGGCAGTCGATGGCTCGTCTTCACTCGCCGACTATAGGCGTTTTCCTCTGCCCGCCGGCTTAGCTTTTTTGCAACATTTTCTGGAAAGGCCCCCGAAGTCGGAAAGTGCAGAGCTGGGCACCTCAAGGCCAAAGTCTCCCCCAAAAAACTTTTTCCAAAGTTGGCTTTGCAGCGGCGGCCCGAGTCCCCGGGCAGGGAGAGGTGCAAACTCCCGCCCGGGCCGGGTGGGGGGGGCCGGAGCGTGTGCGCCTTGGCGCGGGGCCCAGGCGGCGGGCACGGCTGCTCCGCGCTCGAGGCGTGCCCGCTGCGCGCAGTGCCGGGCGCGGCAGACAGGTGGACGCGGCGCGAGTCCGTCGGTCCGTCGCGCTCGCCGCTCTGGGCGTCCTCTGCGGGCTGTGAGCTGCGGCTGCTCCGGCTTCTCTTTGCAACGAGGCTGGAGGGTGGGCCTTTTTTTTCCCCCTTTTTGCGCGTGTGTGTATGTGTGTGTGCGCAAAATATCTCAGTCTCGGGAATGAAAGATGGGCGCTGGCGGCCAGAGGGGAGCCCTCAGGGAAGCAGCGGGGGAGGCTGCGGGCGCGCGGGGAGGCAGGCGGGCTGCTCCCGGCGGCAGGAGGAGAAGTTGCCACCCTTTCAGCTGTTCCGGCCTTTATAAAGGAGAAGGGAGAGCGCTAGAGGTGGGTGGAGACTGCCTTTCCTCTTCTGGCCGAGAGTCAGCACCGGGAAGGGGGGGGGGGGGGAGCTCCGGGAGGGCCTGAGGCGGGGGCGGGGCGCTCAGGGGTCTCTAAGAGCTCGGCAGCCCCTCTGCCCAGGATCTGGCCCCTGGGAAGGGAGAACTAGGGGCGACTCAGCGCCCCGCCCCTTAGCACAGTGACCATGGCCTGATTTCTAGCCCACGTGGCCGGGGAGTTGTCCCCAGGGCCACCGCCAGGAGTCCAAACGCGCAGCCCCAGGGCGGCACTTGCACTCTGACCCAGGCATAGCGGTGAAGGACTCAGGATCCGCAGCTTGGTTCACATCCTGCCCTGGCGCTGAGTAGCTGGGTCACCTTGGGCAAGTCACTTCCTTTCTGTGCTCTTCCGCCTAGCCTCTGAGTGGGATAGGGTTCTTGGGAGGACCTAGGGCCAGAAAGGGCAAACAGCACGGAGCCCCGAGCCGGCCACAAGGTGATCCCACAGACCCCGCAGCCAGTACCATTCAGCAGAAAGCTGGGTCTGTGTCTCCACCTCCTCGCTGGTTGCCGGGCGCACCACAGGCGCTCCCAATGTGTTGAACTGCAAAGTCACACAAACCCCCACAACCCTGCAGCATCCTTGCCGGGCCGCCATCACAATCCCAGTCACCCTGATGTTTACTACCTCCCTCGGCCCCCCGGGCTTTTGAGCCCACCCCCACCAGCATTCACACAGTTAACGCCTTCCACCCCCAGCACCAAGAGCTGCGGTGGCCCTGCCTTCAGCAGCCACACACGCGGTCAGTCACAGAGTCACACGCACCCCCGACGCGCCCAGCACCCACCAGGGGACCCGCAGGCTCACTGCATCGCCTGGCTCCTGGCTGTAGGACACCTTTATCTGGTCCCCTTGCACGGTCTCCGTCGGCTGCCCTTGGCACCCAGACATCCCTTTGGGGTGCCAGCCCGCTCCTCACGCCTCCGTCGCAGAGACAGGCACACCCGCTGTCTCTTCATGAGCCATCTTCTTGGACCTGAGCGGGGCCGGGGGAGGGGGGGAGGGGGCTGCGGGGGCGCGGAGGAGGGAGGGAGGACTTGGCCAGGCGGGCCTCTTTACAAACAGCCACAAGTACCCACCCTCTACCCAGGACCGCCTAGGCAGCGTGGCACCGTGGCCGGGAGGCAGGCCGGGGGCAGGTCCCCTTGGTTCAAATCCTGGTGTGGCCACTTGAGCTGGTCGGGTGTCTCTGGGAAGCTTAACCCCTCCGTACCTCGGTTTCCTCCCCTATAAACTAGAAATAAATCTAGAATTGGAGGGAGAGAAGGATTTCAAGGAGGCCTGAGAAAATTTTAGGGGTGATGGGGATGTTTGTCAGCCTTGCTGGGAATGATGAGTTCACGGGTATATACCTCTATCAAAATGGATCTATGCGTTTTATTGTACCTCAGTGCAGTTGTAGAATTCTTCACTACCTCCTAAAGTGGTCTGGAGGCTCAGATGAGATAGTCCATCTGGAAAGACTGAGCATGATGCCTGGCACACGGGGTGCATCATCCCTTCAACACGGAATTTGAGTGTTCCCCGGTGGCCAGGCACTATTCCAGGTGCTGGGGAGACAGCCCAAGACTGGTACACACTCCTACCCTGGAGGAGCCCCTATCCAGAAGGACAGACAGATGCATAAACAGATAAATTAGGAGACAGGGTGACGAGGGAGATTGGGGGTGGGGGGATGGGAAGATAATCCCAAAACACAAGATTTGAAGTCTAAAGACTTAGAGATAAAACCACAGGACGCTAGGTGATGTTGACCTTGACCTTCTGGATCTTGTCCATAAAAGAGATGGGAACAGCCACCATTATTATCGAGGGGACCGTGTAATAGGTCATGTTCTTACTCGACATGTAGCCTCTCCATGCTCCTGTGAGGTATGTTGCTCCTATCTTACAAGTGGGGACATTGAAGCACAGAGAAGTTAAGCAACTTGTTCAAGGTCACACAGCCAGTAAGTGGTAGAGACTAGACTCCAACCCAAGCATTCCAGCTGTGGAGCCCCCATGCTTAAACCACCATGCTATGCTGCCTCTTGGCAGGGGATGATTGATGATGATAATTAGGACACATTTTACACTTTTGTGAGCATCAAACACATGAATATGTGTACAGGTGCTTTGCCAACTGAAAGTGCTGTACAGACATGAGTTCTGACTTACAAAGTACTGTAGGAGCACAAAGGAGGGAGCACACGGCTCAGCCTCAGGGGAGGGATACAAAGAGAGGAGGCTATTGGGAGCAGCATCATTGAGCACCCACTTGTCTGCAGGCCCTATGAAGAAATGTAATACGGGAGACCCAGAGCCGGGATTCTGGCACCTACCAGGCTCTTGAGTGAGATAGACACAGATCAATACAGTCCAGATGTCTTTGTGCACTGGTTCGAAGGGGCAGGACAGGGACGGCAGAGGCAGCTGGAACCACAGGGCACCCGGCCTGAATGCCATGCTGAGGAGAACCCCTTTCCTGTACCCTCTCCTTGCAGACACATGCCAATGTGGGGGTCTTTCCACAGGAGCAATTCTCTAAAGAACACCTCCTCCTCTTCCTCCTGTGACTTGGCTTAGCACCTCCTCCAGCTAAGCCCCCTGGGCTTGGTACTTGCTCTGGGTTCCCACAGCATGTGCCCCATGGTATTGTCATTGCCCATTTATCAGTCTAGCACTAGAATGAGATCCGGGTGAGCAAGGGCCTCATTCCAGCTCCCACGATACAGCAGTTGCTCCATAAAAGTCTGCTAAAGGAATTAATAAATGAGTAAATATCTGGCCTATTTCTTCCTTTGAGTCCTGGCCCTTTTGGGGCAAAGCTGCCATGCCCTGCCTGAGGGGTAGAAGGGGTCAGGGAGGGGGCTTGTAACGTGAGCCTCTAAATCCGAATGCACAGGGGCACCTCACAGACCTGGAAAGACCCCGGCCCATCTTTGGCATTGGGGCCCCGAGGAATCAGGCTTTCCAATAGGTCTGGGAATCAGTCTGGGAGCTGGTTATGTGGGCTGGGGGCCACACCCCATAACTCTTACCCCCCCCCAACCCCCTTGATAGCTGTGAGCTCAGCAGAAAACCAAGTGGCCACGGCCCTCAGCTAATTGCTGAGGGGCCCGCCCAAGGCCAGGGCTTTTTAGACTGTGTGTCTAGAGCAGTCTAAGCTCTCCTCCATCAAAAACTTCTCATACCCTGAGAGTGGGGCTCAGGGCCAAGAAAGGAGCTGGTTTCCATCCCCAGGGCAGACTTGGACCCTCAAGTCCAGAGTGGGTATCCCCGCTCTCCTGAGAGCCCTAGCAGTGCCAGGCAAGTGTGCTTTTCCCAGCTTGATGGCCAGGGGATGTTCGGCTCCAAATTGGGGACAGTCCAAGGCCAAGCCACAAATGGCCTGAGGTCCCAGCCCCAGGCTGTATGATGGCAAAGGACGCACATACCCCCTCACCATGTAGCTGCAGTCAGCGCACCCAGAGCCCCTCGCTGCCCTGCCCCCGCCTCCCGGGCTGCAAGGCCTGGGCCTGCTTCACCCTCACCCAGGAAGGGAGCGACTGCAGCGTTGCTGCTCCTTTCGTGGGTGAGGAACCGGAGGCTTGCAGGCTACCGGGGACGAGGCTTTCCAGCAAAGACTGCCCGGGTTCAAAGCCTGCTCTGCCATTGACTAGCCCGTGACCTTGAACTTCACCTTTCTGAGCCTCAGTTTTCTCATCTATAAAATGTGGATAACAATAGTGATCACCTCACGAGGTTAACACATCCTCGGTGTTGAAAGCGTGGCGGGAGCGCTCCACACGCGTTGGTTGCTGGGCTGATCGTTGTTACCGCTCCAGCCATAGGCACATGCGCATGCGCACAGCCCCACCTGTGGGCTAGGGGAGGAGCCCAAGGCTGGGCAGGCTACGGGCACATCACCTGGAAGGGGGGCGGTCCTCACGTAGAGCCCCCCACCACTTCTGTTGGAGACGCCCACACGCGGTGAGGCTCTGGCCACTGTGGCTGTGAGGACCGGGGAGGCAGGAGAGACCCCAGGAAGGCAGACAGACAGGCAGACAGACCCCCCAGGCTGAGGGCAGCCTGGGGGAGCCCACCGCGCTGCCTCTGCAGCTTTGGGCCTCGTGTCCTGTAGACAAAGGCAAGGGAAGCTCAGTGTTTGTTTTCCTGGGGCTGAGCAATGCATTTTTAGCTCCGCTAGTCTCCAGACAAGGAAGAGGATGTTTGGACGGGACAGCTCAGATCTACCTGTCCTGGAAGCTGGCTGGAAATGGGAGCAGAGCCCCCCCTCCCCAAACAGGCTGGGAGATGACCCCACCCCAGAGCTGGTGCTGGTCAGCTTTCCCCAGAGAAGGTTCATCCTTACGGCACCCCTGGCTGCTCACGGGCTGGGCCTCTGGTACCCGTGACACCTCCCTTACGGAGCATTCGCCCTGGGCCAAGCGCTCTGCCTGAGGAAAGCATAGCAATTGTCACCATTCTACCAGCAAAGGAACGAGGCCACTTCCTGGAGGCCTGGTGCCCTTTCTTGTTCAGACCTGAGGGAGGGGGCGCTGAGGCTCAGAGACGGACACTCGCTTGCCCGGCATCACCCAGCAAGGAAGCAGCAGTGCCAAGATTTGAATCCGGAGCCGTGATGCCAAAGCCCACACTTTTGCCGTCTCCCCGTAACGTGGTGCCCCGCTGCGTGGCCTGGATCAGAGCCGCCCAGCGTTTCATGTCACTTTCCATGCAGAAAACTAAACAAATTAAGTGAGCTACGTGGAGGAGGCTGGGCAGGGCTGGAGGCCGTGGGCCCCCAGGACCTCCCACCACCCCAGGGCGGGGAGTCATTTGTGGCCTCACAGACGGGAGGTTGTGTACTAGATCTGGGTTAGCCAGCCCTTCCCAAATCAGGATGTCCTTGCCGCCCTGTGCTCTGAAGATTTGACTGGGATCAGGCAGGAGGGAGAGAGGGGCGGGCAGGTAGCAGGCAGCCCCTCTGGGTGGGGGTACAGCAGCACGCAGATCCTCCCCAGCTCTCCGGAGGAAGATATTTGTCACTGCAGGAAACATGATGGGCCTGTCAAAAGGATGAGAAGCTAATCACAGTGATAAAGTCACAGATTCATCCTCCATATACCTGAGAGCAAATGAGCCCAGGCCTTCAGGTATAGTCACCCAGTTAAGCCTCACAACCTGCCCATGAGAGAGGAACTATAGCATCCCCATTTTACAGATGGGGAAACCGAGATCGGGAGCAGCTTTGGCATGGTCAAGGATGAGCAAGGGCAGAGCTGGAACTTGAACCTGGGCAGCCTGGTGCCAGCCTCACCCTCTGGACGTCTGGGCATCTGCCTGCCAGGCCGGGCAAAGAGGAAACACAGCTGCCCAGTCACCTGGGCCCTGCCCTCCCTCACCCACTGGTTTTGGCTTCGCTCCACCTCTATCTGGGTAGGACCCTCTGGTGGGCACTAGGCTGGACCCCCGGCTGAAGGAGCCTCCTCTCTCTGCCATGAGCGGTGCCCCACCATGGTGGGCTGGCACTGGACAGGGGAGGCTGCTAGAAAGGAGACACAGATGGCAGGTAATGGATGGTCCTTGCCTCCCTCACTTCCTTTCCGCAGCTTGCCACCAGAGTCCCCATCTCCTCCCACCGCCATTAGGAAGCCCTCCTTTGGGAGAAAGTCTGACACAGCATTGATGTTCAAGCCTCTGTCCCTGCTGTACAAGCCAAGGCCGTTCGGATGGGATACTTGAGGTTCAGAGACATCATGTGACTTGCCCAAGATCACACAGTATGTCAGAGACAGGAATGAGCAACAGTTCTGCCAATGGCAGGGAACCCCAGCCCTCTCCTCCTCGGTGGGGGCGGGGGGGGGGTGGCGCAAGGACCCCAGGGCGGTGACTCTAGAAGTGTGGTCAGTGGGAGAGGGAGGGAAGCAGGTGGGTATGAGAGAAGGTTCCGGGAAAAGCTGGAGTTCACAAGGAAGAGTGGATGGCTGATTTTTACCCAGACCACACTTTTACTTGCGAAGATCCCTCTCCCAGTGCAGCCTTCTCTCTCCTCTCCAACCACATCTTGCTCACTTCCTCACCCGTCCTGCCTACCCGCTGGGGAGGTTTCCCTGGAGTGACTTCCCAGAAGTGGCAAGTTGTCCCTTCTCAGCACTGCCCAGAGGCCATTTGAGGATGCTCCCATGTCCTGGATGTATCTTAGTTTCACAACCCCTCACCCCCGAGGCCAGTGAGCTTGTCGAGGGCAGGGACCCTGAGCCCGTGCAGGGGTTTGGATCCATGGGCAAGGACCCTGGTGGGTAAGCCCCGCAGGCCTGGCTTTGAGACCCTGCTGTAACCTGTTACTGGCTGTGTGTCCTTGGGCAGGACATTGACCTCTCTGAACCTCAGTTTCTTCAGCTGCGAAGCAGGATCGCTACCTTTGCCTTGCAGGGTTGCTGTGAGGACTGGACGTGAGAGTGGTTGCCGAGGTGCCCACCGGTACCTGGCGCGGCGCGGTTGCTCAGCACACAGCTCGGCCACTACCTGTTCACTGTTGTCGAGCTCCACACCGTTGCTCCGGAGAGTGTGGTCCGCCGACCAGCCGCTCCTGCACCTGGGGGCTTGTCAGGAGTGCCCAGTGCCAGGCCCGCCCCAGACCTGCCAGGTCAGCATCCGCATTTGAAGAAGACTCCCAGCGGCCCGTGGGCACAGCAGTTTGAGAAGCACTGATCTAAAGGGTAAGTCAAAAATGGTCAAGCAGCGTGATCTCACATGGACCGAACTCATACATCAGCCCCCTTGAGCCCCCCGACGATCCAGGGAGAACAAAGTGTATTATCCCCATTTTGCAGACAAGAAAACTGAGTCCTGGGGAGATCACACAACCCTGATTCACATGAGCAGGAGGTCTCCAAGCCAGATTTGAGCCAGTGCCACGGGCTTCAGAGCTGCAACTCCAGGAGTGGCCGTCCTGGGCCTGCCCAGTGTGGAGCTGGAAGGAGCAAAATCCAGGACCCCAGGGTTCTCATCTGTAGAATGGGGTCCCAACACAATCTGACTGTGGGGAGTATGTGCAGACATGCCCTGCCCGGTACCCCAGACTTGTCCTCACAAAGAATTAGGTGTTACATTGCCAGCTCACCTCTCCGGAGCCCCCTACCCTTGAGGGGCATACAGGCCGAGGCAGGCAGGTGGCAGACAGACAGAAAGACGGAGAACTATACAAACACCTTCAGGCGGTGCTTACATAAGTCAATAAGCAAACAGGGCAGCCCAGTGGGAGTGACTAATCGTCTTAATGGGAACCACCACCACAGTGGGCATAATGCTCGTTGGGCACAGATGCGCCCCCTGGCCACCAGGGCACATCCCTGCTGACGATGCAGCGTTGTCACCCATGGTCCCAGGTGGGAGCACGAGGCCAAAGAAGCGAGATCTCCCTCTTCCACCTCCTGCTCCTCCCCTCCTCCTCCTTGGTACTCTGACGGCACCTCCTTCATCCTTCCCCAGAGGAGCCCAGAGTTCAAAACCAACCTCCACCACACCCCAGCTGTGTAACCCTGGGTGAGACCCTGCCCTCTGGACCGTAGATGAGGATAATTCTGGAACTAGCACATTGGGTGATGGGACTAATCTAGCGACTGATTGTAGATGCTTAGCCCATAGAGAGCTCTCAGGAAATGGGAACTCTGGTTCCGATTCCCCTGGCTTGGACGAGGCTATTCCCACCGTTGGCCTCCGAGGGAAGCAGCATGGGAATGGCCGGACCCTTATTACAGATGAGAAACTGAGGCTCCAGAGAGGAAATGTGACTTGCCTGAGGTCATCCTGCTGGTCATTGTTGGAGCAAAGTCAGAGATGAACTTAAGTTTTAGGACTCCCAGAACAGTGCTCAAGGGGAGGGAAAAACAGATAAGTCAGGAAGGCAGACCTCCCAAGTCCAGCCCACCCAGAGTGAGATCTTTTCTCTTGTGGGATCTGGTAGGGGCACGTGGGGGTGAGCGAGTGTGTCTGTGTGATGTGTGTATAAGAGGGACGGGGTGGGGAGGAGGAGGGACATGGGTCTGTGTGCACGTGGGCATCTATGTGTGTCCATGAACGTACACAGGCCTGGGAGGGAGGGGACGAAAACATTCCTGGGCAGCCAGGGATGCCCACAGCGGGGACACCCAGGGCCAGCCGTGGGCCAGTGGGCCCTGTGTGCAGGCGCCCCAGGCCTCCCCTCCCTGAAGACCACCATAGGGTGGAGGATGCATCTCAGCCTCCACCCGTCATCTCCCCATCCACCGCCACCCCACCTCCCCCAGCTCCTTCCTGTTTTGATGGAAGGAAAAAATTTCAGCTTTTTCCTTCTTTATTTTTCCAGACGGGTGACTCGCTCGGGAAAGGAATTCCCCCCTCCCCAAACCATCATAATACCTATATATCGATGCCATAGATCCAGGCCCATCCTGTTGTGCTGGGATAGTCACAGTTATTTTTGAGTGCTTTACGGGGGTGGTACCCCAGGGGAGGTGATATGGGGGGTGCTCAGCTGCCTTCTCCCAGCCCACATCCCCCCTCCCAGATTCCTCCCCACCCCCTCCCAGTCCTCCCTGCCTGAGTTCTGGGAGGAGGGAAGGAAGCCTGCTAAGCCAGGGTATAAATAACTCAGGTGGTTACTCAGCTCCTGAGAACATGATAACATGAGTCATGATGTGAAATCAAGAGGAGCAGCGAACAGCCTTGGGCCACCGCCCGGGGCAGGGCGGTGGGGCTCCAGGCAGAGGGGGTCTGGAGCCCGGGCACTGGCAGTGGGCAGGGCCCAGGAGGACAGGCGAGGCTGCTGCCCCATGTATGGTGAGAGACAAGCCTCATCTGGGCTCAGACGCTCAGGTTACTCACCTGCAACTATGGGCGGGGGGAGGGGGCCTGGGCTTCATTCCCAAGGCCCTCCCTGAGCTGGGAAGAGGAAAGAGGGCAGGACCCACAGTGAGCATCCTTGGTCCTCTCCCTGTGCCCGTCACAGGTCAGTGGGAAGATCGGGTCCATTGGAACTTCTAGTCCCCCCCCCCATTTCCAAGGGCAGGTGGCCCAAGGAGTTCCCTGGGCCTCAGTAGGACTTGCAGGAAGGACTCACAGCCTGCAAGGTGGGGGAAGAGGCTCCTTCTCCATCCAGGGAGAAGGCCTCGAATGGAGGACAATCCCCACCCTCTTTTGGCTGCCTGGCCGCAGTGTGGGTGTAGAAACAGGACACCATCAAGGAGCAGTGGCCTAGCACTGGCCGTGTGAGGAGCCCAGGCAGCTAGGCAGGGCCACTGGCCCAGTCTTGGGCTCTGGCAGGCAAGGGTCAGAAGCCAGCTCCAGCCCCTGCCCACTCACCCAGGGAAATCCTCGGCTTCAGGATCGCCTCCAGAGCAGGGCAGGCTTGGACCCTGGGTTGCCATGGCAACGAGTTCTGGAGCCTGCGCAGGCGGAGGCACCCTCCTCTCATGTCCCCCCTGCAGCTGCCTGGCCTTGCAGGGAGAGGGCTTTGCCCGGGTGAGGGCCCGTAGCACCTGTCCTGGTTGGGAGGGCAGCGGGCTCGGGCGCAGCTGACTGCTGCCGACCCAGGCTGGGAATCAGGACACGGCATCTGTGTGGCCTGGGCAGCTCGTTTGCTGGGTCTGAGCCTCAGGCTCCTGGCCTGGAAGATGGTAGACTAGGGAGGGGGACTAATGGCTGTCCTGACCCTTGTGAGGGTCACACAGCTGAGCAGTTATCACCCAGAGCCCCATTCCTCATCTCTAAGGCATCCTCCTTCCCACCTTGGGCCTTAATCCCAAGGGCAGCGCCCCCAGCGCCTGCACCCCCCCCCCCTGGCTCTGCCCCTAGGACCCTTGGCGTGCCTTCTCCCCCAGCAAGGAGCGGGCCACCCCGCCCACCCCCCACCACCCCCCACTCTGCTTGCCCAGACAGCTTGGCATGGCTCAGACCCAGCCATTCAATGGACAGCCTGCCCTCTGGCCCCTCACGAACAATGGGGACTCCAGGAATATTGTCCCGCCTGGGCTGAATCAAACGCTCTAAATTTAGCCCATCTCATGCGTCCTCTGCTTCCTGCCCCTGCTGCCCTCCTTTCAAGACGATGAGGTCACCCCAGAACTGCCTGCCCCAGCAGCCAGACCCAGGGGGTTTCCAGGTCCAGGGCCGTTCTCCTGCTCGTGGGGAGTGGGCGGCCAGGGGATTCGGGGACCAGGGGTCTTCCCGCCCTGCCTGCCCTGCCCCTCAGGCTGCCCGGCCCTGAGCTGAGTCCCCAAGAACTTCAGCACCGGCCTGGGCGGGGAGAAGCTGCAGAGGCAGAGGGGCGGGCGAGCTTCCAGGGAAGAGGCACATGGTGAGGAACCAGGGGTCTGGGGCGTGTGGGAATACGCACAAGGTCTCCAGCCGTTCGCTGAGAAAAGACTGGCTGAGCGCGGGCTGCATGCCCGGCCCAGCGCTGGGGAAAGAGCGGACCTGCCCTCCGGGAGCGTGGACAGTACGGAGGAAGAAGGACAATCAGCAAGTGAACAGTCAATGACCAAGATCGCTTTCATTTTGACACATGTTATGAAGGAAATAAATCAGAGAGATATGATCACGAAACCGGGGTGGGGTGGCTGGCCCAGATTTAGAGAGAGGGTCAGGGGAGGCCTCTCGGAGAGGCGACATTTGAGCTGAGACTTGGATGGCCAGAAAGAACTATTCGAAGAGCTGGGTGGGGCTGAGCCCTCCAGGCTAGAGGAGGGGCAAGGGCAGACTCCAAGGAGAGAAGAAACGTGTCTGGTTTGGGGCAGTCTGGAGGCCAAGAGTCCACTCCCAGGAGGGAGAGGGGCAGGTCCAGGGGGCAGGAGGCAGCGGGGGCCAGATGGGGAAGAGGCCAGAGCAGCATCCCCGGAGCGAAGGGAGGCACCCTCGTCGGGGTGAGGGGCAGGGGAGCCCCAGCCTCCCAGAGATTTAGGAGGACCTGTTGGCTGCTTGCTGTGTGGAGAGGGATCAGCAGGGAGCCTGGGGAGGAGACTAAAGTCACAGCACCTTGGCATAATAAACACTGTTGGCTGGAGGGCACCTTCACGATTTTCCTGCTTCGGCCCTCTCGTGAGTCTCTGAGGCCCAGAGAGAGCGTGTGTCTGCCCAAGGTCGCACAGCAAGTGGGAACTCTGCCTGGAAAACCTTTTATGGAAGAGGAACTTGGCCACCTGAAAAGGATGTGTCTTTTCAAGACCGCCGTGTGTGAGACGCTGCCCTCCGCCCAGGCTCCTGCTGGGGTATGGGTGAGCAGGCCAGAGATGCAGTCCCTGGAAGGCGGGGGGGTGGTTCCTGCTCTGTCTCTGGCCTGGTTCCTCTCACATCCTGTGGACAGGTGTTCTGACTCTGGCCCCTCCCACAATCCTCCCCAACTGCCACCCGCCCGCCCCCCGGCTCTGCCAAGAATCCGAGGTTGGCAGCGAGTTGCGGGGGGCCTCTGGAATGTCGCTTTCCGGAGCCAGCATCAGTGTGCCAACCTCGGCAGAGGCCTCGGGGGCGGACGGGGGATCACCGGATCTCGTCTGGAACAGGGAGGCTGGCAGCCATGAGCCACCAGGGAAGGGCAGGGCCCTGCCGGTCCCATCTCAGGTGGGGGGCATCCTGCCCTGGGGCCCACTGGGGCTGCCTGAACTGCTGGCCTGCAGTAGCTACTTACCATCTCTCCAGGAGTGGGGGAGCTCGTTCCCTGGCAACTGACCCCCCCACTCCCCATCACACTCTTCCCTCCAGGTACCCACACCCTCAGTGCCTCTTGGTTTCTACTTGAACCCTGTTGGGGTGTGGGGAGGTAGTGCTCCGTGTTGGAGATTCCTATTAACCCTTCAGTCACCGAGTGTGGGGAAAAGTGCTTTGGGCTGAGGCTGATCTGGGTTCAAATCCTATCTCGACAGTGACTGCCTCTCTGGGCCTCAGTTTCCTAATCTACAAAATGGAGATGATCCCCATATGCAAGGGCTTGGTGTAAGAATTGAATAAGGTCACACCAAGCCCGCCCCCACCCCGGGCCCTGGCACACACCAGCACTCCTCATCTGTTGGTTGCCTCCCTCCCTGACCCCCTGGGAGAAGTAGACTGCTTCTTTCTTGCCTCTGCTGGCCAGGAAGAGAGCTTGGAACAGGAGCCTGGGAGGAGGTGGAGCCCTGGAGTGTCGAGGGACAGTGGGGCACCTGGTTAAGACCCTGACTCAGGAGTCAGACAGACCTGGGTTTGAGCCCTGTCTCCTCCACTGGCCAGCTGTGTGGCCTTGGGCAAGTTACTAAACCTCTCTGAGCCTCGATTTTCTCATTTGCTTAATGGTAATAACAGTACCTTCCCCACCGGGGCTGTTGGGACACAGCTCTTATTGTCGGTATTACCAGTTGGTGGGGGAGAGAGGGTGCTGGGGGGAGACTTGGGTCTCCCCAGTGGCCCCAGGTTATTGGAAGCTTCTGGTGAGGGTGATGGGCAGCCCTGAGTGGCCGGAGTGAGGACAGGACAGCCGGTATCCAGGTACCCTCTGCCTGCATCTCGTCGCAGAAGCTGAGGTGCTGGCAAGTCTCTGGGGACCGCCCCCCCCCCCCACTTCCAACTATGCTGGTGGTGGAGCTGGGTGAGGCCTCCTTTTCCAGCCAGATGCCCTTCAGGCCTGGGGCAGGGCCACCCCCTCCGCCCCTCTGCCAGCCGGGCCCAGGCCAAGATGCCTTTATTTTTAAACCTGCGAACAATGCCTGGCCGGGCACAGCCTGCTACAGAGGACGGAGAGAGCAAGGATGGGCTGGGAGCCACATTCCTGGGCCGACATTCCTCATCTCCAGACAGGTACCCTGCTTAGGTTTCCCTCATCCCTGGCCTTGACCCTGCTCTCCCTGGGGTCGTGGGGGGAAGGTCCGGATTCTAGGGTCCCTATCATCTGGCTGGGACAAGCCGCCCCCATCAAACAGGCAGGGATGAGGCGCACCTGCTGTGCTCCGCCCCCTGCAGGAGCCAGTCCCAGAACCCAGGACATCTGGCCCCTCAGTCTCCCCCTCTGTCCCCTTAGCCCCCCCCCAGAACTAGGCTGGATATTCTGCCTCCTCGGGAAGCCTCCTCATCCTGCCCAGTGATACACTATTGCCTCCTCACACCTCCCCTTGCTCGCGGCTCTCCAGAAAATTCCTGAGTCTATGCAGCAAGAGGGCAGTGACCAGCAGCTCAACAGCCCTGGAGGGCAGGGCAAGATCGAGAGGCCAGGAGTCAGGGATAGGGGGCCTGGTCCTGGTTTTGCCATCAACCCCTGTGTGACCTTGAGCAAGACCCATCACTGTCGCATCTCAGGATGGGAGAGGGCTTGGTCAACCCTGAGGTGCTGTGCACACATGAGGCATGGGGCCTCCCGATGAGCAGGAGACACTGAAAACAGGTGCCCCCAACACCTGGTGATCTCCATGGAGAGCCACCAACACCAGACCGCAGAGCCAGACGGCCTGGCTTCAGATCCCGGCTCTCCGCTGTCATGCAGATTCAGGGCAAGATAACTACCCCCTTAGCACCTCGGTTTCCCCATCTGTAAGATGTGGCCATGATCGCGCCGTTGGGAAGACAGAGACAGAACACGTGAAGGGTAAGCACCAGCCCTCCCCACGTATGCAGCAGAGCCAGGATGTCCGTGCGTGTGCAAGTGCACACCCACCTGTGTTTGCACCCAGAATGTGCTCCTAAAGAACGTGGAAGCCGTCGAATGGGATTGAAAGAGAACAGGCACCAACGTCGGGGTGTGGATTTACACGCAGCCCAGAGCCCCGTGTTGGCGTGTGCACACCGATGTCCGAGGAGAATGTGTGTGCCGAGGGCGTGCCTATGTCCCCTCGTCCTGCCACTGAGGTGGGAGCACAGGGCACAGGGCACGTGTCCCGTCCCACTGTCCTTTCCTGGTGAGACAGGAAGCACCGGCCATCAGGCCCCCTCTCCCAGAGCCTGGCCCCACCGGGGCTGCTGGGGAACGGTCGCAAAGGGAGACTTCTAGGAGGGGACCGTGGAGAGGGGACAGGTCGCCGAAGGCGTCGAAATGAACTTGGCCCCCCCAGCTCCTCGGCTGCTTTGCTTCTCCCCTAGCATCGCTGCTTGTTATGTATCCTGTAGCTATAATTCGTCTGCCCCCGACCGCCCCCCAATGAAGACGGGGATCGCGCCTGCTTTGCCCACCGCTTTGGGCCCCAGTACCTAGGACAATGTGGGACACACCGCAGGTGGTCGACAAGCACTCAAATAGATGAGGAACCTGGGAAAGTTCTGTTGTTGTCAGCTTAGCAAGGTGTAAAAGTCAGCAGGTGTCAAACCTCGAACATATACAGTTGTGTAACCCCCACCTCAATCAGGACATAGGACACGTTCTTCACCCGAAAATTTCCTTCGTGCCCCTGGCCCTGGCCCTGGCAAACACTGACCTGACTTCTAGCTCTACACTGTCGCCCTTTCTAGAATTCCACGCCTGTATCGGGAACAGCTCTGTTGCCACATGGGCCTGGAAAGAAGGCCTGAGGAGGATCGAGGGACCCAGCAGGGCGGAGGCGACCATGACAGGTCTGGCCCAAGAAAGGTCAAGGGGGGGCCACGCTGATAACTGGCTTTGAGGGGAATTGGCAGCACCAGAGGAGCGTCTGGCTAAAGCAGACGAGGCAAGGTTTCCTGCTGGAGCCGCTAGCTAGAGGCTGAGATGCCCCCACAGCATGGCAGGGGGAGGGACGTGCTCGCGGGCACTGGGCCCATGGGTGTGCACACACGTACACACGCGAGGAGGGCAGCCCGGGCCGGGACAGATGGCGCAGGGTCGACAGCCGCCACAAGGCCCAGCCGCTCACCGTCTTGCTTCTGTCGTCTCTGTGGACGAGAGCCTCCCGGGACTGCCCAGTGGAGTGAACATGGCTGGCGAGACGTGGGCCGGGGAAGCTCCCGTCCACGGAGCCCACCCCTGGGAGAGGCATGGCTCGCGTGGAATCCCAACCTTGGGACATGGCTGGTACCTGCTCCCCCTTACAAACAAGGAAGCGGAGGCGTGAAGAGGCTGAGCAATTTGGTCACGTCACCCAGTGACAGCACCCAGATTCTATCTACTTTTTCAGTCTGTGACAGGTGGCATTTTCCAGAGAGAACCACAGCAGTATCTCCCATCCCACACGCTCTTCGCGGTGCGCTGCCGATGCTCCTCCTGTGTTCCTCTTCTTAAATCCAGATAGACTTGGGGGCGCCTGGGTGGCTCAGTTGGTTAAGCGACTGCCTTCGGCTCAGGTCATGATCCTGGAGTCCCGGGATCGAGTCCCGCATCGGGCTCCCTGCTCGGCGGGGAGTCTGCCTCTCCCTCTGACCCTCCCCCCCTCTCATGTGCTCTCTCTCTCTCTCTCATTCTCTCTCTCAAATAAATAAATAAAATCTTAAAAAAAAAAAAATCCAGATAGACTTGAGTTTGCAAAAGCGATGCTCTGTGGCTTCCGAGCTAGGTCAGGAAATGCAGTGTAGCTTCCACTTGGTTCTCTCGGGACTCTCCCCTCAGGCTCTGGGCCGCCATGCTGTGAGGAAGCCCAATGAGCCCACACGGACCAAACGGAGAGGCCGTGGCTGGACGGAAGGAGGGGGAAAGACACCCAGCCAGCGCACACTGCCTCCCACCCCGCCGTTCCAGCTCCAGCCACGGACTACAGCTACACGCGAGACCCCAAGCCAGACCACCAATCTGGGCCCATGCCAAATCCCTGAGCTGCAGAAACCACGAGAAATAATGAAATGATTCTGATTGTTTCAAGGTGCTAAGTTTTGGGTCTGTTTGTTAGACAGCAGTAGCTCACTGGAACATAACCCACGGCAAATCCTATCGGGTCCATGTTCAGAATAATCCAGGATCCCATTGCTTCTCACACCTCCATGTGCCACTCTAATCCGGGTGGCCATGATCTCTTGCCTGGACGCCTGCGGTGGTCTCCTGACCCGTTTCCCTCCTTCTGCCCTCACGCCTGTGGTTCTTCTCTGCACAGCAGCTGGCTCCCACCTCCAGTGGCTCCTGCCTCCCCCAAGTCCTGACAGTGACCCACAGGCCCTACAGGATCTGCCCCAGACCTCTCTGAGCTCAGCTCCCCCCACTCTCCCCTCGCCCACTGCCTCTAGCTGGTCCCCAAATTCAGCTGGCACTTACTTCCGGCACTTACCATTGCTGATGCTGTTCCTTATGCCTCAGGTTTCTTTTCCCTGCACATCTGCCTAGCTCACACTCGCACCGCTCGGCTTTCAGCTCAAATGTCACCGATTCAGTGAGGCCTCCCCGCCGACTCCGTGGTCCCCAGACTCCCCATTCTCTCCCTGATTTATTCTTCTCCACTGGTTCTCCCACCTCCTGATGGTGATGACCCATTGTATCTCAATGTTCTGTTGGGGCTGCCTTCTTCCATTGTCAGGCGGGCTTCCTGCCAACAGGAACAGAGGGAACAGCGGCTCTGTTTTGACTGCTCTGTCCTCAGGGCCTGGCGCAGGGCCCGGCACATAGTAGAGCTTCGGTGTCTCTTGAATGAGTGAATGAATGAATGAACAATTCCAGAATCCTTCCACTCAAATAAAACCCCTGATGGGTGAGCAGGGGGCCTCTCAAAATGGGGGAAACGGAGGCCCAGAGAAGGTAAGTCATTTGTGGAAAGCTAATCAGTCATCCACGTATGCCACAGATGTAAAAGCTTTATGGCATCCAAACCTTGCAGAGTCTTTTTTTTTTTTTATTAAAGATTTTATTTATTTATTTGAGAGAGAGAGAATGAGAGACAGAGAGCATGAGAGGGAGGAGGGTCAGAGGGAGAAGCAGACTCCCCGCCGAGCAGGGAGCCCGATGCGGGACTCGATCCCGGGACTCCAGGATCCTGACCTGAGCCGAAGGCAGTCGCTTAACCGATTGAGCCACCCAGGCGCCCCTCTTGCAGAGTCTTTTAACATGAAGCCCCAGCACCCTTCATGTGCATAGCCATTCCAAGGCACATATAAAATCCCTATTTTATATTCTTAATCATGTATGTTTTCCTTAAAGGTCCCAAGATTAATTCGGCTTCAGGCCTCACCAACCCAGGATTGACCCCTGCCCACAGGGTTTTCAGAATTAAATAAGTTACTGCCCATAGGGTGGTGCCTAGTACATAGTGCTCAGTGCCATGTTGTTGGGGGTCCACTGGGTGCCAGGCACTGTCCCCAGGAGCTGGGGATTCAGTGAGGGACCAGATCGACCAAGCCCCTGTCCTCTTGAGCTTATGTCCTGAGATGGGGAACAGACAGTGAACAAGCGAGCAAGTGGGCATGAAATGGCACACGGTGATGGGAAATAATGAACAATCGAGTGGTGTTGGGGGAGGGAAGATGAATGGGGAAGGGGCAGTGTAGCTTGGAAGCCTCGGGAGGCTTCTCTGAGGAGCTGCCATTTGAAGAGGTAAATGATTAAAAGAAAAGAGCCATAGCAGGCAGAGGGAACAGCGGGTACAAAGGCCCTGTGGCAGGAATGAACTGGATACATTGGAGAAACGACAAGGCCAGTGAGAAAGTGAGTGAGGAGGGAGATGTTGGTCAGAGAACCCCAGAGCCTAGATCCGCTTTCCTCTCCCCCTTCCTGCCTCTGAGGGACTAGCACTTTGCAGAGTTGCCCCCCAGGCCACGGCTGGGGTGCTGCTCCGCCGCCCGCCCTCCTGCCTCATGACCTCAGCCCCACCCAGCCCAGCCCCAACCCCCACTTCCCCTTCCAATTGTGACCCAGGAAGTCAGGAGACACATCCTTTCCTAAACTGGATCTCCCCTCCCTGCCCTCCCTCCCAGCGGGTGGGCCTCAGACTCCTAGCATGGACTCTCAGTCAGTGGCTGACCCCCTTTGGAATCCCCATCTGCCTTCCCCCCCTCACCCACCCCCTGGCCCAGCAGTATCAGACCCTAGCGGCCTCCTCTCCTTCCCCTTCGCCAACCTCCCAGAAGCCATGGGGTTTCCCCGAATGCATCAGCCGTTCCCTAGGCCCCGAACACCCATTCTTCCCACCTCCCTGTAACCAAATCTCAGCTGTTACCTCCTCCCGGAAGTCCCTCGGTTATGAGCAGCAGATGGGTCTTGCTCATCGCTATCCCCCAGGGCCAGGCATAGGGCTTGGCACCAGGAAGGATCTCAGTAGAAGGATGAATGAATGAAGAGTTATTTGGGTCCAATCAGCCCACTATCCACTGGCCTGTGTGGCAAATACCGTGTTCGGCCCAGAAGCTGGGGATGACAGACCCACCCGCATTCCTGCGCAAAGAGCTCTTAACCCAAGTCCAGGGGTCTGAAGCAGGTCTGGGCTCTGCACTAATTTGCTGTGTGACCTTGGGAAGCCACTGACCCGTGCTGAGCTTCTCATTCGGCAAAGCAGCAACTGCAAGAGGCTACATGATCTCAAAGCATCACGGTCACAACTGTGGCCTCGGGCCAGACTGCCTGGGCTCAATCCCGGCCCTGCCCGCTGGCCGACTGTGTGACCTTGGGTGAGATTTTTACCTCTCTGAGCCTCCGATCCCCCATCTGTAAGTGCTGGAGAGCGTTGGGGCCCATCTCACAGAATGGATGCAAATGCTGACTCCGTGGAAAGCCCGGCCTGGCGGGGAGCACCAGACACGCAGGAACCGTATGGCTAATTAGCTCATAATGAGGTCTGCGGTCCTCAGTCTGCGTCTTACGGAGACATGACCGGTTCGTGTGAACACAGCCGCTATGTGTCAGAGCAGAAGGCCGGGAATGTCCAGGACTGAGGTTCTGAGGGTCCTTGTGCACCAGGGCAGGGTGACTGTCACTCCCGGGCTGGGAGTGTGGTGTGGGCTGCATGTGCCCGGGTGCTCTGCCTGGTTACACTGTCTGCCCGGAAGCAGCCCCGCCTTGCCCCGCACTGCTGGACCCTCTAAGAAATCAAATACAACAGAGGATGTTGAGGGAAACTGAGGACAATCCCATCACAGCAGACTGAGCTTCCAGAGACCACCTGGGAAATGTCCTTCCAACCCCCCCCCAACTCTCCTGGGAAATAACAACAAGAAATGAGGTCACGGGTCACCTATGGGAGCTTCTGGGGACCCTGGGCTGGAAGGGGCTGCCTCTCAGATCTTCAAAGGCCTGGGTTCAACAGAGAGAGGTTAGGAATTGTAGTGCTCTCTGCATCCAGAGCCCATGGCATAGGGGAAGCTGAGGCCAGTAAGGCTGAGTGACTTGCCCAAGGTCACACAGCTGTGGGGGAAGAGCTGGGACCAGATCTTAGGCCTTTAACCCCCAGCCGTGCTTCTCCTCCGCTTGGTGATACATTTCTGGAAATCACCCCAGTTCTACTTTCAAAAGTGAGTCAGGAACATCTGTACCTCTGGGGGCTGAAAATATTCCCAGGGGCCCCTGGCAAGAATGCTGACATCTTTTGGAGGTGTCTTAAACCAGAACCGGCCTTCCCAGAAACTGATAAGAACGGTACCATTTCTGTTCATTCAGTGAGAATTCCTGAAGGCCTCGTTCTTATCCTGTTCTTGATCCATTTGACAGGAGACACCACTGAGGTGCCAAAAGGCAGAGACATTTGTCCAGGGTCACACGGGCGGCCCTGGTTCTGACGCTCGGGTTGCCAACTCCAAGCCCAGAAACTTCCCTGATGCCCAGGAGGTAGAGTTTGACCTTCCCTGTCAGAGACCTGGGCGGATCTTAGTATCGGCTCCCACCCCCAAACTCTAATTCTTTCTCGTTTTTAATGCCCTGACTATAAGAGCAACAATACATGTTCACTTACGAAAATCTGAAAAATGCAGAAAAGTCAAAATAAGGAAGAAAAATCACCACCCACGGCCCCACCACCCAGAGACAATCATTGTTAAGGTTTGATGTATTTCCTTCCATAGTTTTTTGTTTGGGGACTTTTTTTAAACATGGCTGAGATCATACTGTATATTAAAAGAAAAAAAACAAAACGGTAGTATCCTGCCTTTTGGACCTGCCATTAAAGCGTGGGCACTCCCCTGGCTAGTTTCTCTCTCACCTCCTTTCTGTTCCCTCTTGTCCAAACCTCAGTTTTATTGGCTGCCTAATATTTTGTCCAGTGGAAGTTCCATAGTTTATTTAGCATTCCCTTTTTGTTGGACATCTCTGTGATTTCCAGTTTTTCAACACCATCCACCATATATTGTGGTAGATCTGTGCACAGGAAGCTTTTCTTTTTTCCATATTTAGGGATATCTCCTTGGTTGGAGTGGAATTACTAGGTCAGTGAGTCATACACGTTTCTGGCACAGTCGGTCGAATTGCTTTCCAAAGGACCTGAGCTGCGCCCACTCTCCAGATGAACAAAGAGAGGCCCCAAGAGGTGCCGTTGAACTGTGCATGGTCAACTGAGCCATCCAGCGAGACCCGCAATCCTTCCTCTGTACCTCATCGACCTCCGTCATCACAGGCCCCTCTAATCATTCCCTCCTTCATTCAACAGATAAGGTGCACCTAGGTGCAGGCCTAAGCCCTGGAGATCCTTTGATGAACAAAACGGATAAAACCCAAAGGCATGGAGGGAAGGGGCAAGTAGCCTGTAGGGTAGTTACGAAGGTAACCTAAGGCAAGGCAAGTAGGAGGAAGGGCAGGCCTACACTCCCCTGCCTCTGCACTGGGCTATATGCATATCAAGGTGCTTGTTTGCATATCCGAGTCTTGGGCAGGTGAGAAGTCAGAGAGAGGTGAATATGGCAGCCCCTCCAGCCCTGTTTTCCTGGACCCCCAATCTTTTTCTAGAATTTGTCCTTCCTTTCAAATCTGGGAGATTTCACAAAAGCTTGGATTTCTGGCATCTCCTGAACGCTCTGCAGACCTGGCCAATTCCCAGATGGTCCCTGGGGGCCGCTACTCAGCCTAGCCCCCCTCTCCCATTACCCAGACCCCACCTGCCACCCCGCCCCCACACCGTGCTCAGCCCCTTCGTTGCGCTTCCCGCACACATTCAGTCTATGAGCCTTGTGTGATGTGAGCCTGGCTGGAAACATTCAGCAATAAGACCAATGACGGTAGTAATGCTGAGACACTCGGGCCAGGTGACAGAGCCGCAAGGGACAGAAGGAGGATCTGAGCGGGGCAGTCAGGCTCCTGAGTTCAGGTCCTTAGCCGCATGTGGCTGACAGTCCAGTGGGGAAGACAGGAACCAGAAGGCCCCCGCAGGTGAACAGACAGCCCCGCCAGAGGAAATTCAGAGGGGGCCCCAGGACAGCACAGGCCCAAGCAGCCCTGAGAAAATGCACCTGGGAGCTGGAAGTGAAAAGTCAGGCACTAGGGATTTTCCAGTTCTTTGTGGGTTTTTGTTTTGTTTTGTTTTGTTTTAAGTAGGCTCCATTCCCAGCGTGGAGCCCAATGACGGGCTTGAACTCACGACCTTGAGATCAAGACCTGAGCTGAGATCAAGAGTTG